GTGTTAAAGCTACTAAGCTTGCGCTTGTATCCTATGCGGAAAGAGGTATTGCACTGTAGTTGCAAGTATCACATGTTCTCTTTGGAAAAACTAAGTTGTTTTCAATTGAGAAATCCTCATGTTTCTATTTGTTGCTTTACTACTGTTGTAAAAGCTCATATTTGACAAACAAGAAAATGTTCCAAATGCAAGGTTTGTCCCCCACTGCAATAAACATTTTGAAACAAGATTTTCTAGGAAATAGGCCAAATTCTTCAGTTAACTATGATTATCTATCATTATCAATTAGGAATAGAGGTGATCACTATAAACGGATAAATGATTTTATCTCTTTTCCTATACAGAAATGTTTGTTAATCTTCCGCAGTTTTTTCTGTCACACTAACAGAAGTTGTACTCATTTGCCAAAACAAATAACAGGAGTTTCACTTATCATCCTGCCTCCTTGTCCTAATTGTACATCGATGTGCTTTGGATTATGAAAAAGACAACCAATTCATCATTAAAACTAAATAATGACTAGATGGATCAAAATTCATATCATATGTCTCATTTCTTTTCTTCAATTTGTTTCCCCTCAGATTCCAAAATGCTTCAATCTTGTAATAGCATCAAAGTTAATTTACATGACACGTTAAGGAACAAGGCCGGTTATGGCACAAATCGTAGCTACATCCTAGTTGCTTGTTTTCGAATAATACTTGGAAAGGAAAGAAAAATAAACGAGGTAGATTGCTGATCTATATAAGCCTAGAGTACACTAATGCAGCTTCTATTAACAACTCATTTTGAAGTACAAGGACATCAGAAACATGCTTTAAAAATGATGTTGTCCTCCCCCTCACTTTGATTCTTAGGTGAACAATCAAGGCCACTCAAATATGGAGATAAAAATCAGATTGTGCTTTGTTTACGAAATAAGTTGCAAGAGGAATATATTCTTGGTGAATAAGGCAATAATAGAACAGTATTAGACTCGTTCTTGCTAAGGTTGGCAATTAAAAAATAGTGAATTGAGAGTCATGATTTCACCAGAGTGGGACTAACCTTTTTGATGGGATGGAATTTTACTTAAGAACGGCCATTGCATGCAGGGGCAGTTTGTTTAGCCCATCTAAACATCTTCAAACTTAAAAACAGTCTTGACTACTACCTCATGGAATATAAAACAACTTGTCAAGATACAATGGAAGTACGTGGTGGAGAAATAGCCGGAAATGGTGGGATTGTTAGGCCATCTTCGCTACCCTTCAAGCAGGCCTCAGAAAAGATGGAATTCATGAAGGGAGTGCGTGGTTTCACTCCGCCCCCCTTCTTGATGAAGACCTTTCAAATGGTGGAGGATACAGAGACAAACAACATGATTTCCTGGAATTCTGAAGGTACCAGCCTAATAGTCCTGGACCATCTCAAATTTGCTGCAGAGGTTCTACCAAAATATTTCAAGCACAGCAATTTCTCAAGCTTCATCTACCAACTCAACAACTATGTGAGTTTATGCATTTCAGATTATTGCATACCTTTTAGAGTAAATCCTTTTTCATAGCATGGATATCGTATTCGTTAGATAATTTGTTTATCACAATTAGAAAGTTTCTGCAAGAATTTGTTATGTCTATCACAACTCATGAACCTAGGTAAATGCCTTTTTCTTGTACTTATACTTGCTACTTTTGCTCATGCTTTGTGTTTGCAGTTTGAATGTCAAATAAATTCCTTGTTGAGACTCGAATTCAACAACAAATGGGATCATTTCCCACTAATTTCTGATTGTTTGTTTTCTAAACTTAACAGGGATTCAGGAAGATTGGACTGAGGCAATATGAATACGAAAATAAATGGTTTCAGAGAGGGCAGGAACATTTGCTAATGAACATTAGAAGGCGAAATGATGAAGATCCAACAATCAGGAAAAGACGAGGACCGAGGGAACAATACATAACGGCTACGAGGCCTTCAATGGAGGCAGAGCTGAAAATTTTCGAGGATCACATGAATGCACTGAAGGAAGACATCACAAGATCAAAATATCATATGGGGAAACTTGAGAGTAGCATAGCCACTTTCAAGAAAAATGTGAAAATAATGGAGGCTAAGTCAAAAGTATTGATCAAGGTCTTAGCCAAAATATTCAGCCCCGCCTTAGTTGAGAAGATAATTCAGCGTGTGGAGGAAGAACCAGAACTTGAAATCCTTCAGACCATGAAGAGAAGAAGAGTGATTCTACCACAAAGCTCTAAAACCATAACAAAGTCCACGGATGATGGAGCTTGTGGCATGGACCAAGATGATCAGGAGGCAAACACTTCAATGGCAGAATTGAAAAAAATTGCTGATCAGAAACTATGGAAGAAGTTCATGAGAGATGATTCAGTTAGCGAGGATGAGTCGGAGCAACAACTGTTGAAGCAACACTCGAGGATTGATATGGGATTCGATGATTTGATGGTATCCAAGATTGTGAATGCCAATGAGCCTAATTTGGATGTGGAGGATGAAGTTGTTGTTGACCTCTGGACGTGATAATTTGTTTCCTAATCGTGTGATCTTCTTGCCTTGCTTTCCATTTTCTGTCTCACAATTGACTTACTTTTCAAGTTGTTGAATTGTTAAACAAAGTTTCATCAATGTTCTGCAGGGTTTCATTTGGTGCAGCATCAAGAAAAGGAGAGAAAGCAGCTGCTAGAAGAGTTGATGCAGCAGAATTCTCTGCTTCTTTTGGCTACTTTTATTTGCAAGGTGTGCATTTGATATTTGTAAATTGGGGTATCCCTGTTTCGACCTGTGTTTGCAGCTTTTATTTGGAGACATTTACTGGTTTGTAAAACTAACTAATGACGTTAGAAAACATCTGTAGTGATATTATGCTAGCTACTATTATTTATTAGTGTAATCAGCAGGTATTGATGCTTGCTACTGCTATATTTGAGAAATTTTGAGTCTCAAATTCTTTCAATCAGCAGAGATGGGTATCTAGTACTTATTATTACTGGATGATGTCGAAGCTTGATGCTGCTAATCTTATGCAGTTGTGAATTTGAAGTTTTTTTTTTTTGAGGTTCCTTCCAATTATTATTTCAAGCAAAAGGCTGGTTTTAGGCCTTTTTGGCTGATAAGGAATATGTTGCATCAAAATTTTTGTATGTTTCGAAAATGTACAATACAAAAAATCGTAATCCCAGTAGAGTGATAGATATTAATATTTGGGTATTACGTGTAAGGCCCCCCTACCCCTAAAAAAACTTCGAGTAAGTAGGAAAGTGGGATTGCTAAGAAGTCATCCTCTTCCAACATGAAAAAATTAGTTAGGTACAGACACTAGACAGACACATAGAAATTGAAGAAAAAGTTAGTCTGTTGGTTGGTGGGCTGGTGGTAACACGGGGTTGTTGAAACTTTGGAGACAAAAGATAGGAGGGGTCTCTATTCTAATCAAATGATGCATAAGAACAGCCATCTACTTCAGGTTCTTGAGAAACAACAGGCTTATCTTCATTGTTCATTAGTGATGTCAATTCCCCTTTTTTTTGGCCAAGTACATTAATAAGGCTTGTTCACCCTACCCCCGCCCCCAAATTCATTTAAATCCATTATAAGTCTTTCATTATTAGAAAATATGTAAGAATCATTATAAGTTTTATTTATATGGAATATGTAAAAATTACTATAATTTTTTGAAAAAAATACATTGATAGTTTGCTATGCCCTTGAAAATGACATAACAATATAACGGTCCTCTCCTTCTAAACTTTTTTCCTACAAAAAGAAAAAAAATCCAATTTTTATCCTTTTTTTCACATTTACATTATGGGTCCTAAGGGCTTTGGTGAAAAGGCTCAATAGCAATTGTCTATAAGGATCAAAATTTGAATAAAAAAAATTACATGTTGCGACTATTAGATCTTCTAACTTAATCGTCATTATACTTATTTATTACAATTTAAATGACCTTTGTCTAACCATTTTCCTTCCGCCTAACGTCTCATGGAGATACACTAATATTTGAACTTTCAGCGTTTGAAATGGTATGGCATTCCTCTTCTTCTAAACTTTTTCCTACAAAAGGGGAAAAAACAATTTCTATCCATTATCATCTTATTTTACTTTTTTTACACTTCGGTCCAAAGAGCTTAGGCGGAAAGGCTCAATGCCATTTGTTTACAAGGATCAAAATGTGAATTAAAAAATTACACGTTGCAACTATTAGATCTTCTAACTGTATCATAATTATACTTATTTATTACAATTTAAATGTTTTTTGTAATACCATTTCCCTCTTGCCTGACATCACGTGGAAGTACGTATTAAATTTGATCTTATCAACTTTTCATCGTTAATTTAAAGATGATATTAGCTAAGGTTAATTAGGGACCAAAAGAATCAATAAGATGCAATTAAAGAATTAGTTGAGGGTAAGACAACAGGAAGAAACTGTCCGTTGTCAATTATGGGCATAAAAAGGGATTAATTACAATTTCCCCCTTTCTGATTTATATAAGGGCAAATTCTACTTTACCCCCCTGTGGTTTAGCGTTTTTCACATAACCCCCCTATAGTTTCAAAAGTTATACATAACCCCCTTATGGTTTGGATTAAAATGTCAAAGTAACGGAAATAGTCACTCGTAACGGCGTCACCTAAAATGTCAAAAATAGCCTTATGTAAGGTTGAAATTTATGTATTAACCAAGGGGGGTTATGTGTATATTTTGAAAATCATAAGGGGGTTATATGGTAAAGTATTAAACCATAAGGGGGTTATATGATAAAATATAAAAATCATAGGGGGTTAATGTGTCATGTATTTATAAGGGTAATTTCGACATTTTTAGAAGTTCCGTGACGAGTGACTATTTCCGTTACTTTGACACTTTAATCCAAGCCATGAGGAGGTTATGTATAGCTTTTGAAACCATATGAGGGTTATGTAAAAAAAGGATAAACCACAGGGGGGTAAAATATAATTTACCCTTTATATAATCGCGGAAGCCACCGGCGAGATTGCTAATATTTCAGGACTTCTTTCATAAAATATTTTAAGCTATAGCGTTCTCCAGGGAAAAAAGAACCAAAAAAAAAAAATTGGAAATTAAGAACTGATGAAGAATAATAAGCACCCGTACGACACGACGGAGTAACTCATATTCAAAGGATCAAGGCATGCTGCTCAAGTCAATTCATCTTTCATTGATGATTGATCTCGCATTTGCATCCTTCCCGGTGTCTAGCAAAGAAATTTACATAATTTACAATATGGATGACCTCTCCATCACAGCAGCTTTTCAGAACCTCTTTCAAGATTTTCATTTAACGCGCGACATCACTGTCCAACTAGCATCACATGCCCCGATACAGATTAGGAGGTCGAAGCTCCATGTCAGCAGAACAAAACGACTTTATGATGAATGCAAGATGCTGGCCATTCCGAGCAGCACAACGAGTTTACGAGCTGCAAGAGACTCTAGGCGTATAATCAAAACCGCTTCCCAGCACCAAGTGCATGGCCTGCCAGTCACATTCCAACTCCTCCTGATAAACATTCATGTAGACCCGAAAATGGAAACTCTTGCGTCAATTTTCGGTGCCATGTATAATGAACTCAAAATCTGAAACTATTTTAGCAAGTGTCCCGTACCGGTTAAGGTTTAATCATATTCTTTTCACACTGTCACCATGGACAACAACGAAACCTTCACTTGCAAGAGTGGCTAGAGCATTCCGCAGCTGATACAACAAGAACACGGCAATAGATATTGTTAAGTGCCATTGTGGACTATTTTACTGCGTGCATGAAAGAGACAAACAGAGGGGTAAAGAGTGGGGAAAGACATTTACATCATTGAGGTGAACTTCAGCACCAGAATTTTGCTTCTTCAACTCTTCCAGCAACTAATTACAGATTTTCAGCATAAATCAGCTTCTGAATATGTTGTGAAAGCTAAAAGACCAAGTAGACTTGGAAAACTAGTTGTACTCGTACCTCCAGCAGGCGGGTTGAGGATCCACCTATTTGCATTTTCTCCATTATTATGTTGCGGGTGGTTGATACTAAATTCTCTCTTCTCATCCGCTCACTTGCAGAAACTCCAGTTGTGATTAGATCCATGTCAATGGTTCCTATTCAAGAAATCACAAATTTGGCCACAATAGACATAATCAGGAAAATGTTAAAGTGGAGCCAAGAAGCACTTCAGGTAGTAAAAGTTTAAAAAAATTATACAATAGAAGAAACAAACCAGTAGAATGATCTGTTGCGGACTGCTGCAGCGCAACTTCAAGAAGCCGGAAAGCCTCCATTACATCCTGCTTTTCGACCTATGTGCATGGGAAAATAATTACTGTAAATCATTTATTTCCTCAATGTGCCTGCAAGGTCACTTGGCAAAAGCATACACACCCATTCAGAGAATCGAATCCTAGCCAAAGCCTCACTCAGGCGTATCAAACTCTCAATTTGTCTTGGCGTTGCTGTTATGACCTGAAGAAGATAAAAGGCAAGTAACTCCACAAAGCTTATACCCGAGAACTATTTACTGGTTCTTTGAAAAACATTTGCAGGCAGAAAGACAGAACAAATTTTAAGACGATACATCACGACAAAACTCCATGTTTAGGAACATATTAAAGCCATCATACTACAATTGAATGTAATTTTGTGAGCGAAACATCCAAATAACTTAAAGAGACTACAATGACTTCTCCAGGAATAAGAAAAATTTTACTTCTAAAAACCTAATTATGAATATCGAAAGGTACCACTAGATAGAATACAACAACCAAAAGCAATAAAAGAAAAGAATAAAAACCTCATAATTTACCTTCTTGCTACTGCCTGGAAAATTTCCCCTTCTTCTCATCTCAACATAACCTCTAGTCAACTCTTCAGCAGCTTCATCAGAAAGTTGAGGATGTATATTTTTTCTTGCATAGCTCATGTAAGCAGTTAAAGTTGGAAGGTCGATGATGTCCTCCTGCAAAATCTGCAAGAAAATGAAAATTGGCAAATGAACATAAAGGATTTTCCAGAAATGGTTATAAAGTCAACAAAATTACAAAGATAAAAAAAAAAAGGAACCTCAGGATTTTCAAAGTGTAGTGCAACAATGTGCTTTGCAAGACGCCTGTCTATCTGCTCATCTGCCTTGTCAAGAATTAAGTAGATGAGATCAAACCTGGAACAATGAGTGATTGGTCAGGGTGTTCTGGAGGAAGTCTGAGTCTAATAAACAGTGGAAAAAAATGAATTACAAACAAAGGGTATTTTCGCCAGTGTCCTCAGTAAAAGGCCTATATTTTCTACTAGACTTAATTTATGTAAGAGTCCTACAAGAGCATATACTAAGAAGCATTTTTCATCATAATACCAAATTCATCCATGTTTGAAGGTTACATCCTTGGAGCACTAGATCTAAGAATCTCACCTAGATAACAGGGTAGGAGGAAGATGTATGTTATCAATCACTGACAAACGAGGATTATAACGTGAACCAATTGGATTTGCACAAGCCAAAACTGAAGTTCTAGCATTTAGTGAAGCAATAATTCCCGCCTTGGCTATTGAAACTGTTTGTTGCTCCATCACCTGCAAAGGTTGGAGCCAAATAAGCGATTCAACAATTCAGTTCATGCAACCATGAAGTAACAAAAGAATTCCAGATTTCAAGCTCCATTTTCACCTATATAAAGTAAAGGAGTATAACTTGGGTCTTACCTCATGTAACATGCTCCTTGCATTATCAGACATTTTATCAAATTCATCAATACAGCAAATTCCTCTGTCACTCAAAACCAAGGCTCCACTTTCGAGAACCTACAATCATCACTGAAATCAAATCCAAGTTCCCCATGTTGCATTGCAAACCGATAAATCAATGGAATACATGTCATACAGTTTCACCAGTCTCGGGATCTTTGGTAACATAAGCTGTTAGTCCAACGGCTGAGCTTCCTCGTCCACTTGTATAGATTCCACGAGGAGACAGCTTGTGAATGTACTGAAGAAGCTGGGATTTACTGGTTCCCGGGTCACCAACTAGAAGAATGTTAATGTCGCCGCGGAAGCTTGCCCCAGATGGTAATGTCAATGCATTTCCACCAAAAAGCTACACACAAGGCAGGACCCTCAATATCAGTATAAATAAAATCAGTATCAGCAACTGATATCTTTCTCACCACTCAACTGATTTTTCACTGAATGTACCTGGCAAAGAAGTCCCTTTTTTACATCTTCCAACTCCCATATGTTTGGTGCCAAAGATCTTGTTAACCGTTCATATATATCAGGCAGCTGAGAAAGTTCCTTTAACTTTTCCACCTGCAATTCAATTAGAAGATTTTTTAGGAAAATATTGGTAATAAAATTCGTTAGTTAACAAAGAAAGAAACACATTAACTACCTTGTTGTCATAGTCAATAGTGTCGTCATCACTTCTAGCAGTGCCATTTTCAGTTTCCATGGGATCTTCTGCTTGCATTCTTGACTTGTCAGTCTTCTTCAGGTGAAGACAGTCAATGTATGTCTGAGACCAAGACAATTTCAACCATAAATTGTAGTTAACTTCTTGGCCACATTTGAAATAGTTAAAGTAATTCAAAGTTAAGCTCTCTCCAAGTTTTCAAATTAATTCAGGAAGTCAAGCACAAAATGATTTCTTGCCTTAAACAGTGATTTCACAGTTCTCTGTGTTGGCCCAATTCTGACACTCATAGCCCTGTAAATTCCTGTTACCTGAAAAGCACGAATCCCACAAATCAGAAATGATAGAAGAAGTCAAAAGAGACATGACAAATAAATTTCATATCTTAAAAGGGCAAAGAATTTTACATATGATGATCTTACCTCAACCCTGTCACCAGGCTTCCCAGCATCTACCAGCTTGTCATGCATTAACAAGCTTACCGTGTGAGGTGTTCCTCCCTCTGGGATCTCATCAGGTGTCTCCTGGAGTCTTACAATCTGTTTATCAGCAAACCTGTTTTCCAAAGCATTACAAGTAAATGATGTTTTAATTGACCTGAATTAGATTAGGATTTGCTTAGGCTTTTCCAAGTACAATATCTGAAGAAACATGGTTTATATGTCTATTAGAAGATATATTCAGCTTATGCTATAAAAAGCATAAGTTAGCTTTTGCATTCAATTTCCTTGCCTCTCAATTGGAATTTCACATATTATCTGATTTTTTAAATGGCACCACTATTTTTCAAGATGAATCTAATTCCAAAACACTCTCTACATGAAATCAAGCATCTTTGACAAGTATAAGGTGAGTCTTAAATCATCAAATTAGGCCACTGACATAGCAAAATGAATGCTATGCCCTATGCTACAAAGGAAACGGATAAGCAGGCAAGTGGTCATCAAACAACGTCTACAGACAAGAGAGTTCATTTTCAATGGTCAGGAATTGTCAGAAACAGTGATATGCTGATCAATATACCACCAGGAGGAAGATGAGGACACAAAAAAAACGTGCAACATGGATAATGATAGGATATACCGATGGCAGCAGCAATGGCAAAAGGACCAGTGATTCCGGGCCAGCATTACATCAAACTAGAAGTATTGTATTCTAATTCAGATAAGTACGGCATCCAGAAATAAACAAATGAAACGAAGTGTATTAGTGCATTACCTGCATCTATTATGAACAAGGGTCATGGAATTTCTGGCAAGACATTCTTGCTTCCCACAAATCAAAGGCTCATTAATCCTTCCTGTCAGCACCCACAACGTCCAAAAGATGGAAAAAAAAAAAATAGTAGAGTTCAATATTATCGTTCATCCATGATATTCTACATTTTCTAGGTAACTAGGGCGTGAACTGGAATAACATTGCCATCACTTACCTCTGTCCACAACAACAGGATCAGAGTAGTAGCCGCATACAAGGCATCTAAAAATTGCTTCCCTGATCTCAGGTATAATTGAACTACATCTAATAATCATTCCCTTCAACGACACCATCTTTTCAATATCTAATGAACCAAAAAAATCACCAATTCAGTCTTAGTTAGCTGTTTGTAAGAAAACTTGAAACGTAATTAAAAAAAAAAAGAAAAGAAAAGAAAAAAAGCTGACCAGATGGATTGAGACTTCTCATTGAAGTGGAGACCTTTAGGTTGAAAATCCTTGCTTGTATATGCTTTTCGAACAAAGGGTTGATTCTACTAACCATATCCATCAACACAATATCAAAAATTGCAAGAACTTCAAGAGGGTACCTAACCATTTTGGCATAAAGATCGCTATCATAATCAAACACGTCATGTGCATCGACATCAAGTGAATCCCCTTCAATTTCAATTACATAATTGATAGCCCTCATGTATTTCCCTTCAGTTTGAGAAGGGTTTTCGCGAAAATGCCTCAAAAACCTTAAAATTGCCGCATTCACATCTTGAACGCTTATGTTAGTTCCCCAGACATACATTGGCGGGGTTTCATCAGCATCATCAGCGTCACCGGCTTCAGAAGAAGGTGGGCCGTCATCGGTGGAGGAAGGCGTAGCTGCAGCACCAGTGGGGGTAGCGGTAGATACTCTCCTTCTGCCTCGGCGTGGATTTGTGCTGGATAGGGTTGGGGTGCCCTCGGGAGTGGCGAAACGAGAGCTTGCAGGCGGCGGTGGGGTGGCATATGCAGCAGTGGAGCGGCGACCTCGCTTTCGGCGAGTGCTATCTCCAGGGGATGACAGCGTGTTCCCAATTGGGCTCGAAATTATGTCATCAGGTGATGATGGACCTGATATGAGAGAGAACTAAAATCAATCTACTTTTTTAAGAACTTTAAAAGTATAACGTAAACTGTTCTAAAGGTATTCCACGGTAGAGAGAAGGAAATTTACCGCCATTGATGTTGCCCGGAGATGAATCGGAAGCCATGGTCGATGCGGATCTGTATGACAGAGAGAGAGAAGTTGGGGAGGATTTGGCGCTGGATAGATGCTGGCGGGGGAGGTCAGGTCTGGTCTGGTTGATTGGTTTTTGGCGGGAAGGATTGGTAGTTTTGGCGCCAAATTGGCGGGTGAGGTGAAGTCGTCACTCAGTTGCGTGATTGATTGGGCTTTGTAAATGGGCTTCAGGTGGGGAGAAGCTATGCCTGGACCCTCCGCAAGGCATTAATCCTTGGAAATAACATGCCTCCACTTGTGCCTCCACTTGTGCTAGTTATTTAGTACTTTTAAACATTAATAATCAGATTACTTGACAACCAATAAAATTTTCTACTTATTACCCCTAATTTGCATATAAAATACTCTTATATTCACTAACGGATACTAAAGTTTTTTTTTTTTTTGTCCACTATCATGGGCTTCAACAACTTTGAACAATGAATTCATAGAGTAATTTCTCTAGAGCGCCACAACTGATACTTTTGGGTACAAACCACCAATCGGTGATACTTTGAAAAGAAAAAAGATTACGGTCATGCCCTGGGTCCTCCACTCCAAAGTCAGTTGTTACTGGACTGTGCTGGACCGACCTTGTCCAACTTGAGGAGAATTTGGCCCATAGTATCTTGTACAAAAACCACCTTTCAATTCCCGTAAATGCCTGTTTTAGAAAAGGATAATGATTTACAGTACGAAAAATTATTACAACGCAGGTCTTAAAATTTTTTGTAGTTTCCCTCTTCTCTCTTTGCCTGAGTTTACTTCCACTTTCCCTGCTTGCGTTCTCACCACTTCCCTAAGATCGTATAGAATTATCCTGATTTGTTCTATCGCTTTTTTTTTCCCCGCAACATTCTTTTGGGTTGGGAAAAAAAAAGTTACTATCAGAGGGTAGTAATAATACTTTTTCAAAACTCTTCCTTAAAGAAGAAAAATGGAAATTGCACACACAACTAAAAGTCTAAATCACCTTGATGAACACAAGAAAAATAAAGTACGTTTGAAAGGAAAGAAAAACGCAAATCAACTTAGATTAATGAAAACTTCACTGAGGATGGCGGCGGGAAGGGCAAAACCCAATATCCACGGGTACTCAACTTGATAGTTAATCCAATTAGATAGTCAATGGGTAATCCATTAGAATTTGAGATTGATGAGAGGTTATCGACAAGTAATCCGATAGCGTTTAATAAGAGAATGCTATATTGATGTGTGTGTATGTGTATTTGTATGTACGTGTGTGTGTCAAGGGATCGATACCTCCGTGGAACCTATTTATTCTCTTTAGTTTAGTGAGTATTTAACTAACACACATATTCGTCTTGTAAATTATTACTTGTCATGTTTTATGTACAACTTCTTATAGAAAAAATATGGGAGAGTCGTTTGAATTTTCTTTTGAAAGACTGTCAAATTTTCCTTTCATAAAATGTTGAAATTTTCAATGACTCTACCCATATTTAAAATTCAAAGTAGTATGTTGATTTAACATGATGTATACTAATTTTAGTTCATAAAAGTTAATCCTCCTTTTTTGAACTATTCAAATTAGTCAGTAGTGGAGTTCCAATAGGTAACTCGAACCCGAAACAAGAGGATTTGATGATGAGAGTTAAAATCCATAAAGTTACTCGACAGATTTTAGCAAAAGATTTAGATACGTGGACTAGGGTTTGGTAAGAAAGATTTTTAAGAATATCCTTCACAATGGCCAAGTTTTGCAACAAAATATACGTTCGGACTAAACATCACTAAAAACCATGTTAAAGTACACGGACCGGTTTAAAGTCAATCACAAGCACTTAAACAAGAAGGTCTACCATTAACAGCCTTGATAATTTGAAAAGGCAGAGACTTTACTCATTGTCGATATATAATTAAAGAAACATTAAGTCATGTTTAAGCGCTTAAAGTTTCTGTGGAACCAAATAAAAAGTCATCAATTCTGATAATCTTTTGTCTCACGTTTGTGCAGTGACGGAATTTTTTCCTTGGGAGAGCCAAATTTTTTTCGAACAAAATTATCTTAATATATTATGTTTAAACTAATTTTTATTTATTTAAATATATGACATCTTAAAATATCATATATTAATTTTAATTATAAAGATATGTCTATTTCATAAATATGTAGCATAGTCATAACTAAAATTAAGATAAAAAATAACATTTGATTAAATATCTTATAATATCACAAACCACTTAAGTTGCACATTATGAGAAGATGCTCCAATATGTCACCTGTACAAAAACAAAAACAAAAATATAACTATGTAATATAAATATAATTATTTTTAATTAAAAAAAGATAAAAGTTATGTTAATGTACCTTAAAATTTCATCCTCTTTTATTAAAAGTAAATCTTCTTTCATATAACTAAATTCATCTCTAATTGAATCAATGCTAAATTTTCAAACAACTTCCTTTTTTGCGTACATTGTTAGGCAATGATTCAAGAAATGATCTTTTATCTTGTTTTGGAGCTTTATTTTGATTATTTTCATAATTGAAAAATGTCCATTCTATAGACTATAAAACGGAGCCAGGATTTTTTCCTTGGGAGGGGGGCCAAAATTTTTCCGAACAAAATTATCTTAATATGTTATGTTCAAAATAATTTTCATCTATTTAAATATATGACATCTTAAAATATCAAATATTAATTTTAATTAGAAAGGTATGTCTATTTCATAAATATGCTCATAGTCATAACAAAAATTAGGACAAAAAATAACCTTGATTAAATATCTTATAACATAACAAACTACCCAAATTGTACATTATGAGAAGATGCTTCAATATGTCATTTGTGCAAAAATAAAAATATAACTATACAATATAATATAACTATTTTCAATTAATAAAAGATAAAAGTTATGTTAGCATACCTTGAAATTTCAACCTCTTTTCTTAAAAGCAAATTGAGTTTTACGTTCTTTCATAAAACTAAATTCATCTATAATTGAATCAGTGCTAAATTTTGATCATCCTTCAAGTAATTATTTGTATATTTGTATACGAGTCAACAAGAGGATAGATCACTAATTTTAAATTTTTTATCAATTAGGCTAAGGTGTATATTTGTATATGGACCAATAAAGTAATTATTTTTATTTTAGCCCATTGATAATTATGAATTGAGTCTTTTATTATAATACATCAAATTGGGTCAATTTACTATGGATCATCAAATTATATGTTTAATTTTTTGAATGTTAAATAATTAGTACAATAAAAATTAAATAACTTTTTTTTGAAGAAAAAATTAAATCAAAAAGTGGCTAATTCGTACACACACACACAGATATATATATATATATATATATATAAACTCTCATAATATAAACTAAAATTGTAAAAAATTAGGGGGCCAACTTTGGCTTATACATATATTTACATATTATGAATTAAAATTTTCAAAACTTTGGGCCCCCTCAGCCCCCTTGGATCCATCATTGCGTTTGTGATTGTAGTTCGGGGTCGTTATATGTACATATATATATATATATATATATATATATATATGTGTGTGTGCATGTCTGTAATATATATTTTTATATGTGTATGCTGATTGATGGACATTATTGATTTGAAAATGCTAGCGTAGTACATTATATTTAAGAACACACAGGTATATAACTGTCGTTTGACACAAAAAAAAAGGTATATACCTTTCATTTATTCATCTTCACGAACTAAAGAGTAGATTATGGGATTATATTATAATAAGTTGCTCGCATGAGAAAACAACAGTCCTATATATTATTTGCATGGCTCTCTTCACCGAATCAAAAACTGCACTCCGAGAAATAAAAAGGCAGTCCTTAAAATTTTAAAAAAAATTGACGGAAAAAAAAAAAAGAGCTACTACAGGTTTTATTGGGAATCTGTCAATCGGAGGAGCGCAGCCAAGTCTTAAAACTCAAAGCCCTGCACATAATTTTTATTATCCAGGGAAGTGAAAAACTTGGTCGATCGTCTGGTTCGTCAATGAAGAAGTGGGAAGTTTGAACGTTATGTCTTTTAGACAGATTAAGACTTAAGATAGACCTCATCAGCTAATCTCAGATAAGTAAGCTCATGCCTGTCTCAAAATTAAGCGGCATCTCTTATTTCTCAGATAATTTTGTTTTATGAAAATGCCACTAATAATATATTATAGTATGGTATTACACAAAGAGAATCCACATGCATGGAGTCCGTACAAGTACTGATTCTTTTATCTTTACCCATGAGGTGCGCAAGCCAGAAAAGCAGAATACGAGAAAACCATTTCCTCCTCAGTAAGTCCAAGGAGCAAAGTTGAAAATGGAGGCAGTATTCCTTTCGGAAACGCTTTGATGCATGCCTGGCCCCAAGGGACTGCTAATAAGGATGCTTATCTAAGCATGTTAAAGTTGTTATCCCAGTATTATAATCAAAGAAAACATCACTATCTGTTTCGCATATTATTGCTAGAGAACTCGCATTGGAAGTTGGTTTCTCATTCCAAAAAAGGAGTTTTTAATCTTGACGGAAGGGGAAAGTAGTCCAGCAGCAGCTGGTTTTGATTGAGCGAGCGAGGGAGAATGCACTCTGAATATTTCCTAGAATTGCTGATCACGATCGATCGATGTTGTTGATTCTAGTTGCATCTAAACCTAACAGAACCTTTGCATATGATGAACTTTGGTATTTTTTTTTTTTTACTCCTTTTAGTACTCAAGGATATATTCCTAGGGTTGTGTCAATCTCACTCTCAGGAGCAGTACTCGAGGGGGCATCAATCTTTTCCTTTGGCGTTAGTGTGAATGTCTCTTTAGTACAAAAGGTTAAACATGTGGCTTAGTAGGTGCCTTTCGCTTGGAGTCACTATCATCAAATATATATTTACGAGATGCTTTTCTCCATCCTCCTTTTAGCCCCCCGCGAATAAATATTATTGATGGTTAGGTTAGCTGCTTCTTCTTTTTGGTTAAATTCCCTGATTCTGCTTGATGTCACAGACCACCCAAAGAGGGGGGGGGGGGGTTATCAATAACGACAATAAGGATTAGGGCGTGAAAAAAGCTACCAGTGTAGTTTCGGCGAAGCCCAACTCAGCCGTCCAAGAGATAAGTGGCCAGAAACTGCATAAAGTAAAATTTAATTCTTCCATCATATACTAATAACTCAGACACCGAAAGGTTGATACACATTTAGATTAGTCGGCCATGAATGTTTTCCCGTGGTCTCCATGCATATATTATAAACTCATTCTTGATCCTGGAAATGGATGTAAAAAAGTAAGAATGGGGAGACATGACATGAATAATGGTGATCATTAGAACCCTCCAGCTTGTTACATTTGGTGTTAGACACAGATTCCGACCCATATGAGCCCGGCAAACAGACTGACATTAGGGAGAAAAGTGGCTTCGAAGTTCATAAACAACTGAAAAAAAACAACCAGCTAGTACGAGTGTATTTAATTTGAGGCAAGGCCAAAGGAGATGAATTGACAACATGACAAATTTGTAAGACCATGAGCAATCTAGCCGGTCATATAATAATCACAGACAAGAACTAATAATTCTTCATTGGAATTAGAAAAGAACAATGATGAATGAGTAATCAAATTGGAAATTAAATCATTATCCTATTATTTTCTTTTTCTCCATTGATCAAGTTAAATGTCGAGTAATTAGATGAATAATGCCCATAAAATGCCAGCTAGCTAGGAGCCTCACCAGTGAATGATGACTACCGCACGCTCGTTCAAGATTTTGGATAGGGGAAAAAATGTGCACCGGGCATGAAAGCACTATAAGGGCTAGGGTAAGTAGAATGAGGGGAGGGTGTACTAGTTGAAGTGGTCTGAGTGATGAGATTAGGTTGCTGGAAGCTGCCGCCGCCGCCGCCACCACCACCAGAGGAGCTTTCGCCGGGAATATTGTATTGATTGTCAGGGCCTTGGTCGTAAAGCACACCCTTGAAGACATGTCCCGCTATGTTCACCGACGTCTGGTACGCAAACTGATCCACCACATTGTCCATGGAGCTAACTCGAACACATCTAAATACAGCCGGAACGTTCAATTCGGCTGGAAAGTTCCCTTCTATTAACTCTAGAAACACAGAGCTCAACATTAACAATAAAAACTAATCCAAACAAACTAAAGAATAGGGAATAGTATAATGAATGAATTTAGGCACTTGTTTAGTTTTACCTAGCTAGCTAGCTAGCTAGTAGTCTCTCAAGATTAAAACTACACCTAATTTAATTACACAGACACACACACACACACTCTCTCTCTCTCTCTATATATATATATATATGTGTATATGTATACACTATATATATTTTTGTTGGGGTTGCATCCAAAATACTACAAGCAACTAGCAGTAGTAGTATTTTCTTACAAACAGAAGCCGCCACCTAGGGTTTTTGGATATTGGGTATGTACCATATGTAGCAATTTCATATTTCATAGTAAGCTAAAATGTCATAAAGTACTATATACTGCTCGACATGATGATAAAAACCACTGCCAGTATTTCAACTTAATTAGTCCCATACCACATAGTAATATAAGGTAAAAGAGATGTGTGAGTGTGTGTATAAGAGGGCAGAGCGAAGAGTGTACTGGTAAAAGTACCAAAGGAGGGATGAGTACCTTCTCTGGATCTTTTAGGGTTTGGGTCAGAGAGATGGTGTTGGGGAGTAGAGGAAATTAGTTGGTGAGGATGTCTGGGGCGCCTTTTGGAGACAGGGACCCAAGTGCTCTTAACATGAGTTTGGCACTGAAACCCTCTGGTCTTGCAGCAAGTTCTACACCTCAAGTAAACGCAGTCCTTCTTGGCTTGGTTCCCGCAGTCTTGGCACCTTGTCGTTGATGAGCTGCTTCCCACTGCTCCACCTGATTCGTCTTGTCTCATCATCCCCCTAATTGACTAGTTAGTAATCATTTGCCGCACTCTCTGGAGTCTATAACGCGAAGAGTTTTTCTCAAGTCGGCACCCTTCATCTCTTCTGCCAAGAAGAAGAAGAATTCTTGGTCTGTGCCTTTTTTTTGCTGCTAATTTTGGGAAGATCTGTTTGGCTCCTGCAGGTTTCCGAACTGATGAGTTGTTATGTTGTTCATGGCTCATATCAGGAGTGGTACTACTGCTCTTACATAAGGGATCTGCTTCGAAGCTTTTCTCTCTCACTCCACCTCTGTGCTAAACGGAATTATTTTTGATAAAAAAAGGAACCCCACCCCCTCCCCTCCTCCCCAGCCCATTCCCCACCAAAATATGTACGTACACGTACTACAGTCGATTTTGATTCCTAGCATTTAAACAAAACAAAGCAAGTAATGAATAAGCATATGCTACATAGACAAGAAAGGAAAACGAAAAACACAAACAAACTCCCAATTTTGTTTTTTTGTTTTTGGGGTAAGCTCACTAACACATTTGTGGTTTGGTAAAGTTATTTTTGACTTTATCAATCAGTAAAATATTTTGTTTTTTTCCTAGTGATATATTTCGTGAAATGGGATTGACGGCAGTACGAGAGCAGCTATACTTGAGCGGCGCATAGAAGACCTCCTTCCTTTTTTTCTTTTTTTGAAGGAACGCATAAAAGACTCGAGTTTCAGGCGTTGGTTTAAGCATTAACAAGTCTGCCAGCAGGGAACCATCAGTTAATCTAATTTAATTTGCGGAAATCTACTAATAAGTATGGCAAACATTACTATCATCATCGAGCGACTCGTAGATTGTTTTACGTTTTGTTCAACGGTCAATTAAAACTTACTAATAACCAAATGATTAAGAATTTAGTTGACAAAATAATGCTGAATCAGAATTTTACTTATTGTAGCCTACTATTGTCTCTTTCATTGAGTGACTTATAGGTTGTTTCACAAGTTGTTCAACAGTCAATTAAAACTTAATCGAAAAAGTCTTTAAGCAAAAAAAATAGATTAGCAAGCAACCCAAGCATAAAAAGCACAGCAATGAAGGACACAAAATGTTGTGGAATAAACACGTAGTGCAATCATCATGTTTCTCAATAGTTCTCTGTAAAAAGTATCTTAAAATAGGGAATGAGAGTGTCAAGGGAGTAGCAAAATTTTGATCATAAAACGCAAGTACAACCTGAGCAAGCAAGTACATTGAATTGAACTGTCTCTTCTATTTCCATTAACCATCCACCATCCAAACAATCTCACTATATTTTGCTCACGCGTTGCCAAGTAAGGTATGTTCATTCAACATAAGGGCAAATTTGTTCCCGAAAGCAGGCTTGAAACCAAAGAGAAAAACGTTGTTATTATCTTTGATGAGAGTTTTGCCAGCACACAGACATCTTGAATTCCGCAGTCTACGGGAAAAATGGGAATGCTCTCAAGAAAAAGAAAAAAAAAAAAAAAAAGGCAAACTTCAACAATTTTGATTTTATAGATTTGCCCAAAGTGATAAAAAAAAAATTACTGATAGTGACTTAGCATACACTACTACTATTATAAATGAACACATGAATCATCTAATTCACAAATTTTAATTAATTATTGAGCAATTTGCGGGACAACTAATAAGTTACTCAATGTCGAATGAAGGGTGTGGGGGCGTGGGATTGGAATTATCACTGGGATTGGGAACTTGAGATCCCATTCCCGGTCTAAGTTTCAGCTTGCAAGCAAGTGAGACAGTGACAGCTTTCACGCCCTTGTGTCTATCTCCGGAAAACCCGCTGCTGGCGCCTGTGACCCCTCGTCCTTCTAGACTGGATCAATGAATGAAAGAAGCGGGGAGAAAAAGAAAGAGGGGCACGAACTCTGGCAGGTTATGGCCAAAATTTGGCAAAAAAAGAAAATTGTAAGGTTCAAATTTTGTGCCTTGTTTTTTATAATACATGTGAGACTTATAAAATTTTATTTTATAATTACATGTTATTGAAAATAAGTTACGCCGTATACATGCAAAGTTACGCCGCGTGCATTTTACGCAACATCGTTCCGAATGATTTTTCTGAGAATACTTCGGCCCTTGTCCGGAGAAAAAATAAGACTGACTTAAGTGATTTGACTGGAGGAGCATAATAGCATATGCTACTGCCGGTTGCCAAACGAGCAAAACAAAGGTCGATCCAATCCAGCTTGGTAGCAAAAGTAGCAATCTGAAATGGTTCATTCTTTGTGTACATTTATTTATTCGCAAAACAAAATTTTAAAAATTTCTTAAACTCTAATTTTTAATTTCTTTTTTATCTCACGTATGCTACAATTAACCCCTTTTTTTTAAAAAGCAATCCGAATTGAGTTAAAAATGTTTTCTAAAGGAGGGTAAAGAAAAAGTCCTATAGTCTAGTGCCCCATTTACAGGAGCACAAATATTATGGAGCACTTAATACACAGGCACCATCATCTACCCATAAAGAAAAAAAGAATTACTTTAGACTTTTTGGCCACAAGTTTTTGTTATTTTATTAGTAATTCTCTTTGCATAGAGTAGCATCACGTACTTTCAGTTTTGCTTCCATTTCCTGTATCTTCCAAATCAACTTAATAATGTTTAAACTCCTTTTTTACTTTTTAAATTAACTTTTTATCTTACATATACCACGTTACTTTTGTCTTTCTCGTTATATGGTTATTTATCCAATACAGAAAGTCACATGAATTTCAAAACCTATTGCTGATTTCTCATTTTATAAGTTCATTGCAAGTTGATTTTGTCCATTTGGATTGCATTTCTTTTAAGAGTTTTTGACAAAAAATATTGTAGCCATTTTTGACATGTAATATATAATGTGAAAATATAATTAAAAAAATATATTAAAAATATTTATAGAAAACAAAAAACTTCAAAAAATAGCAATCCAAACAAGACCGAGAAAAGGTTTTATGTTTTCTTTTGGACATTTATTTGGCATTTCGTGATTAAAATGACATGCATTACGTATTTGAAGGTTGAATAGGCGATTTACCATTGATAATCAACTAAAATTAAGAAGAAAAGAAAAGGGAAATAGCATTTATGCTTCAATTTACTTTTGAAGCTACTAGAGTGCATTTATTTAATGATTAATTTTTCCTACACCGTCAGCGTTTGATGAATGACAATTATATAAAATTTGAATTTGAAATTCAACTTTTATACACATATCATGAATCAAACGGTGATAATATATATACTATCAGTGTATATAAGATTTACTCTATATATATTTAAACACATACTTATTTTTTAAGCCAAGTACAATGTCTACTTAAAAAAAAAAATTAACCTATCATGAAAACAAAGTGGTACCATTATAAAGTGACGTGACATCAATTTCCAAAGAAATCTCTCCATGATGCCAAGTCTATGGGTTCAAGCTTTTTTTTTTTTTTTTTTCAAATGGCAGTAGATTTGCATCTTTTACCTTTTTGAATGTGTAAGGAAACAATTGGACAATCATACCACGTCATTGTTGAAGCTGATTTAATTCCATGGCTTTTTTGTATTATCTTATTTTTGCCCTAAATGCGTGTAATGTGGATTTCCTGAAAGAAAAGCACGGTTGACATTCCCTCCCAATCTAATAGCGACAATCACTTGAACCATTTAGGGGGCGCTTGGTTCATGCTTTGAAATTGGAAAGGGAAATGGAATAATGTGAACTGGTGCTATCATTCCCACAGAACAAATTCTTGGTGTGGGATGCGTATTAAAATTTACTTTTGCTTCTCTTTTTATTTTTTGTCTCCTTTGGACTTTTTGTCTTCTTGGCTCAATGCCTCACCACCGCTAACTTTACCAGACCACCACCAAAATCCCAAAATGAAATGGCGAATTCCATCCCAATCCTTGAAATCTGTTTGCAAGCACCACTGCAATCCACCTATGGCCACCAGCCTTCTTGCCATTAAACATTAGCTTTGCTATTCACAAGGAGAAGAATGAGGTTGGGTTGCCTGCTGAGAGGGACGATTTGATAGTGAAAAAGGAATTTAGCGAGTCCACTGGGTGTGTGAGGGGGAATGTGGTTAGCGGCGAGAAAGGAGGGGGAAAGTTTCTTAAATGTCCTGGAGAATGCAGTCGTTAGAGGTAAGGGGGCGGAGGGTCAATGATGAGGAGAGGGGAGAAAGGATAATTGATGGAGAAGAGGAAAGAGTTTTGCCTCGAAATTTTTAGTTTTTTAATCCTTCATGTGTTCACTGTTGGAATTAAAATGAGGTTTTGATCAATTCCTCCCAATTTGGTCAAGAATCATAAATGACCAAATTTTAAGATATGGTTCCAATATTTCAATTCCCATTGCACTGGATTAAGCGCGCAGTATTGGAATTATTGTAATTCCAAGTACCTAAACCCCTGAACCAAGCAGCCTCTTAGTATTTGTTTCGTTATTATGTTTCGCGAAAAGGGGATTGAATGAACTAATTAGCAAGTAAACTTCGAAATAAAAAAAATAATAGGGAGATAGAATTGCTTAATAAAATATATCCTTCTCGTTTAATCTTATAGTATATACATCAGAGGGTTATATATATAATTTATATTTCAAATTCAAATTCAAATTAGTTATCATGGATCTAATGCTTATGATGTATACTAGTGATAAACGCATACTCACTCAATGTATGTTAATAAAGAAACGCATAACATTTATGGTGAATGAATTTTATACAAATTTTTATTGTTATAGCAAAATTTAATATTCTAAATTATTTTGACAAAATGATTGTCATGTTGGTAGTTACTGCTTAGGAGTGGTTACATTGAAAAAAATATTCAAATATTAAATCAAGAAATGCTTGTAAGTCGTCATCTTGACAAAATGTATGTAAGTAATTAAAGTAAAATTAGTTTCTATATGGGTAAAAATGAAAGTAAATAAAGTGACAATATAATGTTTGTACCAAATTCTCTTCTCTCCCTTTATATATATAGTATAGATATAGATATAGATATTTGTCAAATTATAAAAAATTGCTTTTATCTCTGTATGCTTTATTGTTCCCAACAAATATTCACTAGAGATTGTAACGAGGCATGATTGTTTGGATTGTGGTTTTGCAGAAAAATTTTTATGTTTTTCATAAATAAATTTTGAAATCACCTTCTTATCTCACATATATCAAATTACTACAATACATTTTTTTCTACAAAAACTTCTAAAAATAGCAACCAAAACGGAGCCAGATAGGAAAACATCCAGTAAAATTGCAAACAATATACACTTCTGATAGAATGTTTGTATGCATGTTTTTTTTTTTCTTTTTATCCGTTGATAGAAGGAAGGCTAAAAAGCCATGCCACTAAACGAACCCATCATTTCCCCTTGTAACGTAAGAGATGTTTAATTACATTACATCTGGTAAAATATATAGAGTCATATCTCCTCCTCGTTTAGCCATTTCTATCCCATAATTTTTCGTTGCAGATTTTTTACGTACTGCGTTTTGTTTTGATTGTGGTATTGTGCAAAATTGACCTGTGATAGGGGACTGGACAGTGATAGGGGCTCCATGCGTATCTCAAGACAATTTGCCGACATGTTCCATATCTCAGAGCACAGACCAGAATGGTACTTCTCCTCCTACGGTCCTACCCTCCTTCAAAGAACGAAGGAAACGCGCCTGAAATGCAGCGAGTCTGGTCAGGAGACCGACAGCTTTCCAATTTCATTAGTAGTTTTTTTTTTTTTTTTTTTTGGGAGGTGCTAAATAGGCTTTCAGATTCACTGCCTCTCGCTGCAGAGAGACTCCTGGACAGGTGCTTCTTTTTTGGGATAATTTCAGAAACCTCCCTTGACGTTTTCAATAATTTCACTGACTTCTTTTACAGTTTGTAAAATTACACTAACCTCCATTGAAATTAAGATTTTGGTAACAAAATCAATCCAAATATAAAAAAAAAAACCATTAAAAGGGTACTTTGAGAAGGGAGATAAAACTTTTAATCAAGAAATGCTCTTTATACTTGTGTACAAGTTGTATTGTAAATGAGTGAAAAATATATTAATAGAAGTGAGGAAAAGTAAATACAAATAACAAAGAATAAAAAATAAGTAACAATTGACTTTCTCTACAAAGTTGGACCAACGGCTAGTGCATTGCATTATAACGACTATTTTTTCAAGTCTTTACCATTTCATATATAAAGACAACAAAAAGCATTAAGATAGAACTCACTTTCATTTGAAGTAGTAAAATTTGAGATGAAAAAATAGTAATTTTGTGTGGATTTTACAAGCTGAAAGTGAAGTATAGGTGTCGAAATTATAGCCCCGTCAAGCTATAGGAGGAAATCGTAAAATTCACCCGCATACTTTAGCATCAAGAATGAATATTGCGAGTGTAATCGCAAAACAATTGTGAAGATTTTTTAGAGTACAAAAAATCCAAATAAATTGCTGTTTAGTGTTTTAATTTGGTGTATCAATTTCTAAGAGTGAACAAATATTTGGTATATCAATTAGCATTATTTTGTAATTGCCAGTTATTATTCATCATTAAAAAAAATTTCAACAACTATTTTCATTAATTAGTTACTTTCAATTAATTAGTGCCCCAATTACTTAATTACTAGAGATTAATTTCCAATAAAGCATAATATATTAGGGCATGTGAGTAATTTTCCTTCAATAAGACACTATAGGGGAAGTTAGTGTTATTTTGTAAACTTCAAAGGAGACTAATGAAATTATTAAAAACTTCAGAGGAGATTTATGAAATTATCCCTTCTTTGTTTTTGGCGAAAAAGGGAATTCAGTCTCAGTTTTTCTCGGAAAACGAACACGGTCAAAGAAAATAAGGTGCCGAATTGACCCATATTTGGCCGCCGAAAGGATTCCTTTTGCTTTAGGCCCTGCAACATGACATTATGTTAAGCACTGTGTAATTGAATCTAAACGAGCTCAATACACTACACGAGCGTGACTCTGAGTTAAAAAAGCTTGAACTCGAATTCAAGTTCAAGCATTTCGAGCCCTTAAAAGGTTGAGTTTAAATTCGAATTCAATTTTGTTATGCATTACTCGAATTCATGCAAATTGAGTCAAATTGAGTTTAATTTGAAGTCAGTCGAGCCTAATCGAGTATAATAAATATAAATTTATAATTTATAAAATTTTAAATAAGGGACAAAATAAAAATTTTTATACTAATAAATAAAAATTTTCAAAAAAAACATATATATATATATATATATATATATATATATATGTGTGTGTGAAACTCGGAAGAGATTGAACTCAATAAGCTTTTGAGTTTCACATGTTAGATTCGAACTCGAGTTCATGAAGTAGCTCCAACTACTTGCATTCATGTTGATAGAGTTTTTGATCAAATATGCTTACAAGCTATTCAATTGAACTCGACTAATTTTCAACGAACTAATTAAAATCAGCAACGAGCAAAATCAGTTGGTAGAAAATGAACTACAACTTCAATGCGAATGGTAAGTTTATTGCGTCAGGATAAAGATCATAAAAATGCTTTAGAAAGAATTCTCTCTCTCTCTCTTTTTTTGGGTTATTATTATTTTACCCCTTTAACATTTGGTGACACTATCAATTTCCCCCTTAACGTTATCTTTTAGTTATTTTACACTCAAAACTAAGGGTCAAACTTAACGGAGTTTTGTTAATTAAAGTGAAAAGACAAGTTTAACCCTTAAAGTTATTATCACTTTACCCCCATAAACTATAACCTCATTATCAATTTACCCCATAGATTTATTTTTTAGGCTATTTATTCCACCATTAAACCAACTTAATAAGTTAAAAAACTTTTAAAAAAAAGTACCCTCCTTTTTGTACAACAAAAATAATAAAAAATTTAGAGTGGCTCTTTTCCTCTTTAGTATCAAGAAAAAAAGTCAAAATATTAATCTCTTTCTTCTTGCCAATTTTATTAATATTAAAAAATAGAAAGATGGGGAGGCGGGGGGAGATAACTCAATTCCTTTTTTTAAGAAATACAAATAAAAAAGAATTAAATACGTTTATTATTTTAAAATTATTTCACTTTATTATTTACCACCAAATTTCAATCATAATTCCAACAACCTTAAATTAATACGATAATGTAAGACTTTTTTTTTTTTTGTAAAATCTAATTTTCTGTTTCTTTTTTTCTTTCTCTTTTTCTTTTCTTAATATTAATAAGTGTGAAAAAAGAAATTTGAAATTTTTTTTATTTTTGTATTTTTGAATCTCTTAAAGTGAAAAAAAAAAGAAAAATAATCATTTCAACTTTTTTATTTTTAATTATATATATAAGGGAATTAAAGCGAAAATAATGTTAGGAATTAAAGCGATTTTCAAAAATTATGTTAAAAAAAAGTTGTTGGAAATAATGTTAGAAATAAAGTCATGCCTAGAAAATAATCTTAGGAATTAAAGCGATTATATCACTATAATTTAAAGAAATAAAGTAATAATAACAATGTAGTAATGCTATAGAATAAAGGGATATTTTTGTCCAAAATTTATTAATATGTTGAGTTGAATTACTTATGGGGGTGCAGTGACTAAAAGATAACGTTAAGGAATAAACTGACAATAATGATATAATTTAAGGGGGTAAAGTGATAATAATTTGATTTTTTAAACTTGTTTCTAACCTTCCAAGCCCAATGACTTTGACCTTATTTGAATTGTCATTTTCTAGAGAAAGTTTTTATATTTTTTGCGAGTATTCCTTTAATACAATTTCTATTTATCTTTTTATCTCATACACATCATATAATAAAAAAGTACCATACTATTTTTTTTTCTAAAAACTTTCCAGAAAATACAAATCCAAACGGGGCTCTTTGATTGCAAAGGAAAAAAAATTACAAACTGGGATGACTTCGTGGGCATGGGAGTTGGGGAATTATATGCGTCCGGATTTGTTACTTGGGCATATAACCAGTTGGAAAATTTGAACACATTTCCATAAATCACTTCGGAAATTTATCCCATAACACTTTTGGAGAAGAATATAACCTCTCGAATGACCAAATTTTACGCAGAGGAGTAGGAGCGAGAACTGGACACCGACTAATTCATTTAATAGACAGGCCACTGGAACTTGGTTTGGCGCACCGGAATTTTCTCTTTCATTCTGAGGCGAGAATTATCCTCAAGAAAGATGAAGTATCTAACAGATGTTCATGTGCCTCTAACTTCTTCCACTGCATTAGACAGCCTCTTTGATTCTGAGTCACAGGAAATTGTCCTCTAACAAATACGAAGCAGCCAGCAGGTATAACCATAACGCCTTCCACTCCATTAGACAATTTCAAAGAAACATCTTCCTCATTACCAGCCAAAAACTGGTACATAATTACTCCGTTTCCTTGATGGGTTGAACGGTTTAAGCAGCATCCGCCGAGCAGCAGGAAGGAGGAGAGAGAACCTCGCAGCCCATCTTATGGTATCAATTCCCTCATCCAAGCAGAGCATATGATATCTCTTAAACTCAGAAAAACCGTCTTCAGTATCTTGGCTAAATTCTTTCATTACAATCCTAAAACAAGTCCTTAATTAAACTTTCAAATCCGGTTAGCTTTTTCTTTATTAATCCACATGATACAAGCAAATCAGTCAAGTCTGTCTTAAAAAATCCCACCGCAAGAGATACTCACCAAAGGAGAGGAGAACATATCTACTTGTTATTTAGAGCAGTGCAGAAAGCACACGAGACCTGAGTAATTGTCCAAGGCACCTCAACAAGAACTCAGAAAAAAACGTTTAAGAGCTGACCACCAAGTTCTTCACATCCATACATGGTCCCTCCATTTAGACGTTGCAATTTCACTGATATCCAGTCGAACTCAACCAAAAGCTTAAGCAGCAGTAGCACCACCAGTATCCACAACCACAAGTCTACTGCTGCAAAAGGAGGTATGTAACTCAGGAAACTACACTCTACCCACTACCGACGGAGGGGCCAAAGAGTTAGACTTCTAGCGTAGCATTATCTGTCCAATTTTGTCTTAACACATATTAGAAATCATCGTCTCTCCTAAATTCCGTAAGCAAATACGGAGCCCTGTGTTTAAAAACAACATGATGGTTCACCTACTTGGTGCTGTATTTGAAGGAAGTAGGAACCAAAAGAGATAAACTAATAAAAGAGCACTTAGGAAGGACCAATGGGCTTGCCAAAACAATGATTATTAACCTTCAGATACCTTCTCATCAGCTAACTAGGTGCTTTTCTCTTTCTGTCTCAGTTTAAAGAATTAATGCCATACCCCAGAGAATTAAATCAGCGGTTTCAACCTGGAAGATCTAGCATGCATATGCAGAGCCTGTTAAACCCTATACCCAAATCTGCTAATTGCAAGACCAATATACCTTCCTCAAATACTTTTCGCCTTCGGGTTTTTGAAAATCTTGTAGACCTACACCAGTCCTACTTCTGTATGTCTCACACATAACACAAAAGTAAGAGCTGCCTAGACCTAGAACATAATTCCAAAGCAAAAGAGAACTACATAGAACGGCATGATTCCCTAGCTTGGAAACAAGAGCGTCGAGATCTCCATACCTCTCCAGTCTGAGCAATCTGGAATCTGGAAGACCAACTACCGTGCCACTAAGAATACAGACATATTGCATTAAATTTTAATTACAAAAAAAAAAAAAAAAGACGAAGGTTGTACCTAGAAGCCCTCCCATAGTCCCACTGACCAATACAGTTTCACAAACCATTCAATTAAAACCTCTTTTGCAGCCCACATCTCATAATTACAATACATTAAAATAATCATGCCTACAATCATAAAATCCAGACGGCCACATAAGTTTAAGTAAAAGATAAGAAAGTTTAATAAACACCAGCAGAAATGAAAGCAGTCCAACCGGTCCTACTTATTTACAGAGTCAGATAAACAATCATCCCACCCCAAACATATCTGCAGTCAAATTACCTCCATAAATCATAGATAGGAGCAAATATACATGTATTTACTAAATGTAACAGTGCTGCACCCCAAAGCCATGCTTGCCATGAACACAGCCTGGGCGATTGTAACGATAGGCTAACCTCTTGGCCTTGTTCAACTTTGGACCAACCCTTTTCCCCAACTTCCGTATCCTCTGTCTCCCCCCGAACTTATCACTCAATCCCCACGGCACCAATTCGTCATCCAAATCATACCCATCATCATAGTCATCGCCATCATCATCGTTCTTATAATTGTCATACTCATCGCCAACATCGCCGTCGTCAACACCACGACCATCATCGTGATTAAGATGGAGTTGGGCCGAGAAGGAATCCATGGAGATGTCAGAAGATGGGGATCCCAACTCGAGTGGTCCCTCTTCTTTGCTGGGCCCAGAGGAGACCTCACGGGGCGTGGCGTCTTCTTCTTCTTCTTCGCTGAAGGAGAAATCATCCAAGTCCTCTTCATCATCGTCGGATGAGGTTGCGTTGACGAACTCCCACGCCTCGGACAAATCATCCACAACGACGGCGTACTCGTCAACTGATTCAGAAGGGGTAGACCCGGCGACAACCATTGTTGCGGTGGAGGTTTTTCTCTCCCGGCTTAGGATTCTCAACATTTTTGCTATTTTCAAGTGGCAGGGCAGGGCGGTAGAGTCGAGGGTGCGACTTTCTTTATGTTCACCACCGCAATTGGAAGACGCAAATCGAAATCAACACACTTTTGGGTTCTTAACAATATGGAGAGACCCTTCCCCCGCCCTGCTACTAATCTTGAACGGCCGAGATAACTGCAAGAGTCCACGTGGCGCTCAGAAATGAGTATTGGCCCAGAAGCGTGTTGTTCAACAGCCATTGGTTTATAGTACGTGGAGTGGTGGAGGGCCTGCCGTTTCTCGCAAGAAACTTTTCCCACTTTCAAGTTGTAGCCTACAGTGGGAGACTAGAGGCGCAATTCGGGTTGCCATAGTTTATTGAAAAATATTTTGTAAATAAAATTTTTAATAAAAATATTTATTAATTATTTAAATGTTTTTAAATATATTTTTTAGATATATAATTCAATAAGTACTTATTATACTGAATAATGTATAATTTAAAAATTTTTTAAAGTGTTTATCTCTTTATTTGATTTATAATATAGAATAAAATGATTAAATTTGATATTTTATTTTTTAAATCATAAAAGTTACTTTAAATGCACCAAATTTGAGTTTTTGTTAAAAGTGCTTTTAACACCAAAGCTCTCCTCCTAATTTTATAAAATAATGTTCACCAAACACTTTAGAAGTATTTTTAGCATATAAAAATTCTTTTTTTACTAAAAGCACCGCAATCCAAATGGGGCTTAGATAGTTTCAATCTCACAAGAAATTGTTATTCTTTCTTAAAAAAAAACTTTTTTGTTCATGATCTTTTCATTTTGCCAAATACCTAAGGAGCCCATCTTCCAAACATTAATCCTTAGTCTTTCATCTATTTCAAAATTTAAATTAATCGCTGAAGAATCAATAAATGGAGGGGTTAAATCCATACACTAAATTTCAAGTCTCTAAAATTAAAATTTTAGTAGTTTTCAAGATAGACGTGCAATCATAATAACTTTTTCATACAAATATCTGTCATTGGTTTTGTGTAAGTTAATATTAAAAATGGTTCAATAAAAATAAAAGTAATAGACTCATAAAAGAAAAGAAGAAAAAATTATTGTAATGCAAATGCTTGTCAAACACGTATTACCTTTAGTTACGTATAAATTCCTCATCCACCATTGAAATACTTGTCAAAGTTAGCCGGAAAACACAATAAAGGCATAACCTTACGAGAATTATCAAACTTCTAATACTTTGGGGGACTTTTACACTTTTATACAGTTTTACTAATAATCACTTCTAGTTTTAAAATAAGAAGAGGATTAAAAACATGATGAGAAACTAGTCAACCATACATTTTGTCATAAAAAATTTCCTTTCCCTCTCACTCTTTTTTTTTTTTTTTGGGTTCCCTCCCCCATCGAAACAGTTTGCTAAGTTGGTCAATGCATCCAAGGCAGTCCAGTAAACTGTAAACAGTAAGCACCATTAACCTTGGCCCAAACCAGAACCCGAATGCACTGTGGTTTCTTGCAGGTTAAGAGGGCGGATTGGTGAAAGGGATAAAACGAGTTACGTCTACGTCCGTAGTAGTATATTGCAGTTTGTGCACGGAGCTGTAACGAGGTCTTCATACTGATTACATCTCTGATGCCCAAATAAACTGTATTCCGAACCGATCCTATTCCACGTGTATTTTGTATCCGTCGAATCCAGAGCATGGCAATAACCTTTTGCAGTAAATCAACGCCCTCACACCATTTTTGATTGCTAATGCTTTGTCTAGTCTATCCTTGGAGTAATTGTACAATCTCATCTGATCTTGATTGAATGCCTTTCAGGTACTCAACAAGAACTCGCTGCTGGTAAGAGCCCGCTTCCTAGTAATAGAGAGATCAATATGTGAGAGAGAGAGAGAGAGAGCACGCCAAATTCACTAACAGTGAAAAAGAACTTCAAATAAAAGAAGAAATGGAAACGTTAGCCTACTGTTCGAATCAACGTCCTTTCAATTCGTTTCTTAATAACATTGTCCAGTTCCTCTGGTGAAATTTCCCCTTCATACCATCAATCAACATCTTATTCCATTCTCCCTCTGGAGCTGCATCAGTACAAGCAGGTCAGTTTTCATCCTTCGACAACTATCCCAGAATAAGCAATAAAATGAGGAAAGAAAACTCTGTGAACTAGGAAGTTAAACCTTGAGAAGGCTAAAAGTTTCTTATTAAATTGAGAAGTACAAATAAGGAGTGAAATGCAACCAGATTACAATCAGATACACAGCGGCAAGCACACACCATCGTTTGGCACAAAAAGGATTGAAGAAAGAAAAGCAATTCACTACGCAACACTTAAACTTCTATGCACTTTCCTTTTCTATTTCCCTTGTTTCCCTTTCTTCCCCCTTTTCCAAGGTATGTAGTGAGCATCATGAAGGAAAATTAGCTTGTTTAAGGTCGACTCATCATTCCTAAGAAATGAGAGTTGTCTCTCAGCCACTTTTGCTGCATGGCTGATCATCCAAACTTTTCCAATTCTTCCAGCTTTGAAGAAGCTTCATCTCCACAGGCAAAAGTGAGAAAATGCATAATACCTCAATTAAAATTAAGTTGAGTACATGAAGGCTCCACCAACCATTGAGTGGACTAATAATGCAAGTCTAATTGTTAAATTTACATCACAAACCTATTCAATCTCATGCTTGAAAAGAAGTACACCAGGCTAGAAGACTAAAGATAAACTTACCTTTAATTATTGTTTCCAGGAACTGCTCATCTCTTAACACCTCATTCCCTGCAAAGGAACAGAAGCAAGGAATAATAAAGCATGGTATTTTCTTTATAGCAAAAAAAAGTAGAAAGAAGATGCTTGGGTCCAAACATGAACTGCAAACTTAATGCAAATAGTTTTTGACATAAGTGCTACATGATCAGTAATATATAACTTATTACTAGTGGAAACTTGACAGACCTTAACCTTTGGTTTCATTGAAAAAGCAAACCGCCAGTGACTACCTAATTAAACTCCAACTTATAGCAAGCGACAGCTCTTTCCTGGCCTACCTTGTTCTATGATAGAGAACTTCCTAAAATGAACAAACCATGATCTAAAGACAATTAAAAAGCTATGCAACAAAAAACAGCACGTATTACTATAGTTGATAATTCTAACAAAACTCACTAACAGAAAGGTACCTTTTGTGGAATAACTACGCTTAGAGAGGATCCGGGAAGCATAGAGTTGCAGAACCTTTTGCAACATAGCCTCAAGCCCTGGCTTGTCTCCATCTTCTTTTGCCTGAAAAATCATGGAGAACGATATCATTTACTAAACTCCCAAAGCATTTGCCGGGGAAACTCTTGCAAATCTTACTTATCAGTTTGATATCATGTCCACTATCTCAAAAAAGAAACAGCAAAATCTATACATTGTTCAAAGAAAAAATTTTCTGTAGCATGACATGAATAAGAGAAAGTTGTAGGAATTAATAACTCCATCACTAACCAAGGTCATTGAAGCCATTTGCATAAAACTTGACATCTCTACAGTATTTAGAAAACAAGGAAGCCTCCTTCGCTCATAAACATTTGCAATATTTATAGCTTTTATGTTCACAAATAATACTTGACAACAACTTTGAGGTTCAACCATTATGTCAAGTGGGGTCACATGCAATCCATTCGCAACAGAGCACAAATCAAAGACGGATTTTCTTTCTTTTTTTTTTTGTGCGGGGGTGGGGGGTGGGGGTGGGGAAGGCAGCCACCCCTCAAAATTTTTTAAAACCTTTAATTTGTACCACAGGGTTTAACCAAAAATCCAGAGTTTCATAATTCTTGCCCCCTCAAAAACTTTTCATGGTTATCCTTTACCTCCCCTTCTCTACAACAGGATTTTTTTTTTTTGAAATGACTATTCTATGGGATAAATTCGGCAAAGAGGTAAATAAGAAAGATAGAATTTGTATACTGAACTAAAAATATGGATAATAGATAAAGTGAATCTTCTAAAATTATTAACGATGTTTTTTGTGCAGTTGTTAACACATCTAAATTATATGTAATTTACCATGTGAATACACACAATCACAACAATTTTACTCCTTGTATATACTTTCATAGATTTGGAGTTGTTTTTGTTTGTGTATTACTATAGCATTGTATTTGAAAAACTAGTTTTTGAAAAATAGGCCAATCCAAACAGAGCCGACATATTTTCAAAAAACTAACACCTAGTTAAACTAAAATTTTAATATTACAACTATTACATGTGAAAGAAAAAATGTATAACAAACAAAAGTAAGGTGTGAGAGTAAGTTGGCAAATAACTAATTTCGCTTCAATGTTGGAGTCAATTAGAATCTAACTTTTGACCTAAAGCTTTTTTCTTTTTCTTTTTTATTGGGAACATTTTCAATTGTCAAAATTTTCCCCTTATGCTATGAGCTTGGATAATTTTTGTTTCAAAAATTTTTTTTTTTGTGCAAATCAATTTAACATATACTTAAAGATGGTTTGAATACAAAGGTGCACCATTATTGTTTCTAATTTAGAAGAACTTGAAAGAGACTTGAGAGTTTGATATCTATAATTTTTTCTTTTATTCAAGGAAGAGATTCTAAACCTCACAAGGGGAGGGCTTGACAGCCAAACTACAGACCTCACAATCACTAGCTAATATCCTTCTCCTTTAATGTTTGTATTACCTAACAAAGTTAATCAAATTTTGACCCAAATTAGGGCAGCCTTGTAGGATCATGTATTTGACGTCTGTCACCCATAAACAAAAATTCTTGTTCCGTCCCTCACACAAATGATTCAAATAGGAGTAAAAGATCAGGTAGACGGGTAGACTTACTTGCCTTAACTGTGCAGTAACTTCCGATAAGAACCCTTCATCCAGATGGCCTTCTTGCTCCCTTTGCTTTAATTCCTGATTTTTTCAGTTGTGAAGCTGCACATATTAGTAAAGCTTTGCAACAATTATCATTAATAAGATGTATTTTTTTAAAAAAAAGTCAACTTCAACTGCTCTTACCCTAGTCATATAAGCCAGTTTTTTGAAACATAACTACAATACAAGAGGCCTCAACATAAAATAAACCACGGAAAAATCATTCATCATCACTTCCTGGAACACCTGAAGATAAAAGGTGAGGTAGGTTCAACTAGAACAAGATAGAAAACATACTTTCTCCATGAGCTTGAGAGTTTCAGGGTCCCTAGGAGGCCAAGGAATCTCTTCTACTTCATCAACTACAGGTTTTAAAATTGCCTTCAGAACATCAGTAGCTGACTCTATCTTTTCCTGTAGAGAGGAGAATGAGATTAAAAGGAAAAGAATAAACTCAAATTCTTCAGATTTCATCCTAAAAAGTGCAAAAACATATTTAATGGGGAAAAGACAACAGCACATTGGTCTTGTCGACAAGACGATCCACCAAGTTCATTAACAACGATGCCAGTTCTTCATAATCTTTCTGCAAAACAACAAAAAAGCAAGCAGATTATATTACATAAAGTAAGGAGTAGAGTTAGAATTAAAAAAAAAAAAAAATCAAATTGCTTAGAACCATGCTTTATCATCATCAGATTTGCAGGTTTCAGATCTAGCAGCAAGTCTTATCCAAAAGCTCTCATTGAAAGCAAGAATATTTTCGGCAACAAGTTTCTGAAGCTGCAAAAGGGAAGAAAAAAAATAAAATAACTTTACCCAAATTCAGCTTGATGACCTCATTACAAATGGACTAACACAGTAACATGCACTATTTACCTCCAAAAAAATTGCACTGAAGGGCATGGAGGCAAATGATGAAAAATGAGAAAAAAAAAAAGGAAGTTGAGAGAAGCTACAGAGGTTCCAAAATTAGGAGGGACTGTCTTCCATATCTTTATCATTGAACGCCTAAAAATGGACTATATTGAGAAACAGGTAGTAAAAGGTTTTTGTGGCAATATCAACACATTAATACAACTTGCATTTAATTCCCGCACTTTTTTTTGTAAAGAAGCACAGCTAGTAAGTTCAAAATAATTTGTATTACAAATATTTATCAAGTTACTTCACTTGTGCAGTCCAACTTTTGCAACATCAAAAGGATGGATTTTCTTCCGTAGGTTTAATTATATTGTTGCGAGGTCTATGTAAAAGATCATCCAAATGTGCATAAACAGCATCTTGTCTGCAAACAACATTGACCAGTTATCTTACAGCACAATAACTCCGGCATAGAAAGGAATCAAGCAATCTTTTGAACAGGATTTGGGCTTATAGTTCCTTCATTTATCCACCCTAGCAAACGGTGATGGAATATGTGCAATAAGCCATAGCAACTTGATCGGGATAGGAAAACCAGTTACCACATCCCACATCAAGTGTAGCTGACTTAAGAACCCCCATGGACAGCATATGGTTGATGGAAATGCTACTACAAATAGGTTCCACAACATGGTTGACGATTTCATCTAATGGTATAAAACAAATTGATGATTAGGAAGAAACTTATAAAGCAAAACAAGACATACTTCCTTATCATTAGCATCCCTCAGCATATCTATGAGTCTGTCTACTGCCACGGTCTTTTTGAATGATTCCTCAGCATTTTGATTTACTGCCCAGACCGAAGTTCTCCTGCTTATTATATGCAAGTAATGTGATTATGAATAGCTCCGCCTACCACATGACGAATAGTAAGAAATCCTGTTGAATTCGACGTAATTGACCAGCAACACTGCCATCACACTAGCAGACTGCTTTGCTTTGTCAAAAAATGTACAAAAACCATCTTTTCTGGCATATCAGCATAGGTTAATTGATATGCCAAACAGCGCAGAAAAAGTTTTAACAGCTGAAATTTCAACAAACTAGAAAAATTAAGGCATACAAGAAAGCAGATATTAAGAAGATTTAATTGATTACCGGCGATAATGTTGTGGGAAATTTGTGGACCAGAATTGCAACGCAAGCTTCCGAGCAAAGCATTGTCGACGAGAGCCTACGCACTGCATGATTGTTGAAAAATAACACTAAAATTGAAACAAAATTACAAAAATCAAAATAAAATTAATCCAAACATTTAAAGAAAAGTAACAAGAGTGCGTACTACTGGAAGAAGATGGGAGTGAAATAGTACCGGAAGACGATTATGCGACGGCCAATGCAAGGCGTATGGTATAGCAGGTGGTGTGATAACAGATGTTGCCATTTTTCAGGTTTTTTTTTTCCCTTGCTTTTTAACTTTCCCTGCCGAGAGATGAGGATTAGGTGCTGGACATTTCTGGTGTTAACAAATAAGTAACCGAGAGCAACAATAATAAAGCCATCTTCAGAGGTAAGGTTGAAATAAATCAAGTTACTCAGATTTTGGAATTTCAACAAAATTTTAAACTCGTTAAAATAATCAAATCAATTTAAAGTTGGTAAAAATTTAAAAACTTTATTGCTAAATTTGAATAACGTTTTGTATTTGATAATATTTAAATTCGACAAAATATATAAGTTAAACTTAAACAAAATTTCAAAGTTGTTAAAAATAATAAAATAAGTTTGAATACTAAACTGTTTGATTCGATTAGAGTCGTTTACACCCTAACATAGCCTGATTAAACTTGATAAAAACTCAAACTTGTTGCCAAATTTGAATGACATTTTATATTCGATAATATCCACATTCAATAAAATCATTGAAATAATCAAACAAAAACAAGCACTAAACTGTTTGATTTGATTAGACTCGTTTACATCCTAACACAGCTAAAAATGCTTCAGGATGATCATGGATTCATGCATTGGAGATAGGGCTTTCAGATATTTCTGTGGGCCACAGACAAAACAGCTTAGTCCCAGCGTGGCCCGATATCAAGTCTTCTTAAATCCGGCCTCCGCCATCTTCAGGATTCTCCTATTGCTTTATCATTTTCGTTTTTGGAGCTTCGGTCCAATTAAAGGGTCATTGGGTCCCGGCCCAAGAAATAAAAAAAATGGAAGAGACGCAGAGAGAGAGAGGGAGACGCGCATTGTTTTATTATTATTATTTTTATCTTGTTTTTTTGATGTTCAGAACGGAACGGAAGTTTGCTTCCAGCTACAGCTATAGTTTGTCACAGGGAACAACATTGGCCATGCAATACTTGAAAATCAGCAACTACACTTATCCTACCTCTCTCGATGAAATGCCCAACGTTTGATTTCCATACTATACGTACATAAATCCAAGTGAGTATGTGAATCGTTCCTATATGGTCGACTACTGCCTAAAATTGGCGGAAGTCCTTGTATTAAATCATTCTCTCATTTCATACTTTGTGTTTCTAAAATCCACCGTATACTTTCTCATCACTCTTTTTCTTTCGTAGGTGGCCGTTATACTTGGCTGTACAAGTGAGAATAGTCATTACCATTATTGACGGTTGCTGTTGCTTCGCTTGAGAAACCTACGCATGGTTCCAAATTTCTAGTACCGGTACGGCCCATAAGCTTGCTTCACTTTTCGATCCACATGTACATATCCCTTCCATGTGAGAAGCATTGGGACTGTATCCACAGTCATATGCTAGGTACTAGCGGATGTTAATGTAAGCGGAAGAGGTTTACATCCTTTAATCAGGAGGTCACGGATTCGAAATTCATGGGAATAAAAAAGACCGTGTTAAAAAAGTTTTTTCCTATGAAGAGTTGACTCGACTTGAATAAGATTAATTGCAGACCATAAAACTGGTGCGAATGCGGAATGCCTGTGAATTATACAAAAAAAAAAAAAAAAAAAATTGCTAAGCTACATTATTATTGTTCTTTTGTTTTGGACTTTTAGTTGCAATTTTCACTGTATGGATGAGTTTTGCCACAACTTGCACATCAACATACTTCTTCAGTTCTTTTGTGTATAATCAAAGATTGGCCAGACATCATCCATATCTCAATGAGAAAAAAAAAAAAAAAAAAGTGTTATTTGCATCTAGTGCTTGGTGAACCCCACCATCATCGTTCTCATATTTCTAATTTCTTGATTTCTCGTCTAACGGGAACGTGCACGTATTTAATTTTGTTAGCTCGGTGCCGTTGAATCCTCAGCAATCCACAAGTCAGATATGGGAAATAAAAAAAAAAAAAAAAAAGAGACTTTGAAGGTTTCTCAATTTAATTCCGCCTCAGTTTTCGATTTTAAACATATGTTGCAAAGGAGGGGTAGTCGTATGTTTTGTATTCGACTTCGATCATTGACTTCTATGCGAGTTTCTGATTGATGAGAAAACATGGAAAGCATGCTACATCACAATTATTTGAGCTTCTGACAAAATTTGTAGCTTGGAATGCCGGTTTCGCGCTTCCTTTTCCCACCTACTATCCAATTATTAGTCTCCTTGTACATATTACGGTTTTTTTTTTTCCTTTTTTTTTTGTTTAGTTTTGGTCCAAGAACCGGTGCCTTAGTTAATGGTTATGGTAGTAGTAATATAGATGAAATTATTCATGGTGTTGTAGCTCAAGTGGTAGAAAGAATCCGTTTGGATTAGTTATTTTTTGAAATATTTTTAAAAAAATTTATTGCAGCAGAGTTTTTAGAGTATATTTTGAAATATTTTTAGAAAATATTTTGAAATATTTAAGAGTAGTAGAGTTTTTAAAATATATTTTGAAATATTTTTTAAATATTTAAAAAATTTAAATTACTTTTTAGAGCACTTTTTAAAAATTTTTTAAAAATTAGTTTTTGAAAAACAGAGGGAAACTTGACACAAATGTCATGCTGAGTCTTTGATTTTCCTTCTGGTTGCTGCAAGTCCGGCTAGAAAAGAAGTGCCAAATTTCCATTCAACTATTTTGCCTTCGGAGAATATTCAGTGTCCATCAAAGTAGTTGCTTTCCTAACTAAAGCCACAGCAGCTTTGCGGGGAATTCGCAATGCCTTCCGATTCCGTATCTTGCCTATGGCATAGTTATTATATTTCTCAGGGGACATAATCAGAAGAAGCAAGCAGTAGTTTATTGGCATGTTTGGCGCTGTAGTTGACATAATTGACTGATAGGAAATATGTCAGCCATCGCGTCAGCAGATCAATATATTATTATTATTAGCGTACTAGCATTAGTAGACTGTTCTTTTAAATGATCAGCCATTACAAGTTTTTTTTTTTAAATCTTTCCAAACAGGTTGGAAACCTCAATGCTGGATAATCTTTTTATTTAATAGATCTGAGTTTAAGAAATTTATTCGATCTTAAATGTGAATTAGAGTCAGAAATTCAGTATACTGACACGAATACCCCGCCAGAGTAACTATTGTGATGTTATGAAGATGAGTTTCTTCAGAATTCGTCGAATATTTGTGTCATCAGTTCAGGTAGTTCATTCATTATCAATTTAAAGTGCGAATCAAAGTGGTTGTTCAAATCAAAACTTGAGTCAAGAGTTGGTTAAAACTTTGTTTAAAAAAAAAAAGGCTTTGAATTGCCGTTGTTTTGGAAAAAAAAATCTTTTGATTTTTCCCTTTAAATGTTTTCTGATCATTTTTTTTTTTTACTCTACAATACATTTAGATCTGAAGACAAATGATATAGTATTTATTATAAAAAAAGAAAAAGAAAAAAGTGCCATAAGGTCATAATGAATGAATGGTGAGATCATCGCCTTTTTTTTTCCTATAAAAGAGTAATCCAATAATCAAATTACACCTATTATAATCTTGAATCTAGTGATCATTTTTCTCAGTGTATTTGAATTACAATTACCTTTTTATCTCATATATATATATCATATCGTAAAAAATATTACAGTAACTATTTCAAATAATCATCTATCCGCTCTCTCTTATAGATCAAGTAATGGCAAAGACGGTGAAGAAAGAGCAAACTAGGAAATGTGAATGGTTGAAAGAGTATATTACCGTAGTTTATAAATGCCTTGCCTGGATTCCTCATCTGTAAACTCCTCGGTGGTAACTGCTAAAGAGGCTATGACTGCACGTAATTGAATGAAACAAATTTAGCCTTTCTAGTTGAGTATGACGATTTGACCCATCGAATTATGTTTTCATATCATCAATTGGGTGGCAACATTTAAAGCGCTGAGCATGGGACTGAATAAATAAAGCTGGGTACACAACAATTTCCACATCATCCATTTATGGTCATATCAGGTAGCGTTCAAGTATTGACCTTTTCTTTCCCTGAATTATTATTAACTCTTACACTTACATAAGAGAGGTATATCATTTACTTTGTCATTGCTACTAAAGATCTACGTTAAAGTTGTACGGTTAAATCCAGTCGCAGCGTAGGGAAGAAATGATTACTTAAAAGTACATATTTTACTTGCCAATGTACATTAGTTAATTGGACCAATGAGTCAAATTGTGCTCTTAATCCACTCTGGACCTACCACTTTGCCAGGATCTGTTTACATTATTCAATTCATATGAAAATGGAAAGGGTCAATAAATGAGTAGATAAAGGCCTCCCAAGTCTTAGCCCATACGGCCATGCCTCAAGGTGCAGATTGCAGAAAGGACAGACACCCCAAAACTGAGAGCGAAAGCAAATCAGGATAATAGCCAACCCGTTGCCTGCGTCTTTGTTCCTGCACAACACGGACAAACTATTCTTATCAGTAGAGAAATACTTACTAGATATATATATATATATAGAGAGAGCGCTATCCACATAGGTAGCTATGAAGCCGTCTGATGTCTTCTCTAGTCTCCCTTCCAGAGCTTTCTTTTAGTCAGAAAGATAGATTTATGACTCCTGAGATCTTAGCTGTGCTTTCCTGCCCCATCTCTGAGGTCTGCCCATAATATTTCGTCTCATTCCCAAATTTACTCCCACCAAGTAGCTCTACCTCTTTGTAACGCCTTCCAAATTGAGTACTACTTCTCCGCATAGTACTATATAATCAAAGCATTCTCCTTCGTACTCAGACTTAGACAGAGGAATAAGTACTACAATACTCTGAAAACAGACACAATCTCGTTCCTGAGAAACAGAACTGTACCCCTTAATAGGTAGAATGAAGATCCAGTGTGACGTTTGCAATACAGACGAGGCATCCGTTTTCTGTTCCGCGGATGAAGCAGCTCTATGCCAAGCATGCGACCATCGAGTTCATCACGCAAACAAGCTTGCTAGCAAGCATCATCGTTTCTCTCTTCTACACCATCCCCTGAAAGACTCCCCTTTCTGTGACATTTGCCAGGTACAAATTTTTATACTATTTGTGAACTGAAGAGGTACTGTTCCATTCCTTTTATAGCATCGTTTTGATTGTAATATTGCAGGAAAGGCGTGCACTGCTGTTTTGTCAGCAAGATAGAGCCCTTCTTTGCAGGGAATGTGATATTCCAGTACACAAAGCCAACCAACATACCCAAAAGCATGACAGGTTTCTTCTTACCGGAGTAAGGCTCTCAGCTTCTTCATCCGCAAACCAAACTCCATCATCCTCAACTGTCTCGTACGCTGCTGGCAGCACAAGAACTGCTAAAACTGAAAGCAAGAGTGCTTCGAGTGTTAATGATCCACACAATCTCAGGGCCAACTCAACTGCAAAGACTTCTAAATCAACATCAAATCATCTTAGTTTTGAGATTGAGAGTCACTGGACGAACCAAGAAGGTTCTGTCGCTACCAGTAGTATATCAGAGTATCTCACGGAGACATTACCAGGATGGCATGTTGAAGATTTTCTTGATCCACCTTCATCTTTTCCTTATGGTTTGCAGCACTCTTGCTTTTTCTTTTTCCTTTTTCTTTTTTATAATATCCTTTCTTGGTGGTGGAATGGAGTGATGCTGATACAGGAAACATGGCAGTACAGCCATTAGGAATGTTAATAACAATACATTAATAAATAGTAGAAATCAATAATGTTAGTAAAACTAAGGCCCCGTCTGTCAAGTGAATTTTTTAGGTGTTTGTCTAAAATTTTATTATAATTTATCGTAAAAGTTGTAGAAAAAATTTTTGAAATATGTAAATTTTTGGATATTTTGAAGTGTATAGTTTAAAATTTTTAAAATTTTTTTTGATATTGTTGCAAATAAAAAATTATTAAAAAATTTGTAGCAGATAAATTTTACAAAAAACTTGCCTTGCAAACAAGGCCTAAATATATGAGGCATAATCGAAAGCATTGTATTGGCTTTAAGGACTATGGCCTTTTTCTGATGCAGTAATTTCCTCTGATTCATTGCAGACTCATGACCAGACGACGTCACCAATTGCCTACGAAGAATTTGAATGCACTGCGGGTTATTTTTCAAATGTAAAAGATTTAGCCCATTGGGTACCGGCACCGCAAGCTCCAATATAGTTTCAAACTAAGGGGATGAAGAGTCTGATGAATTGAAACATGTGACAAAGAAACCAAAGAAACAAATTTTTGTAGTCAACAGACTGGACGTACTGGTTATGACCGTATATACAGTACATACATCATCGCCTTTTCCAGCTGCTGACTTTTGGACCTTTTGGCTCTTACCGAGTATTCTGCAAGATGTCTGTGGATTTGATTTTTCAAAGATGGATAAAAATCTAGTTGTCTATATCTCGCGTGTTTGTGACTTTGTTCATGCCTTTTTTCTGTTGATACACCTGAGAAGTCCAGCACCAAACATGCTTTTTTTTTTTTTCCAAACAAAATGGACATATCTGTAAAGTCCCGTTTTAGTGGCTGGCAAGTACACAAGGAAAGGCCCCCACGTGAATGGGTTGGTGGTTGGCGCCTCTTTTTCGGGTCCTCATGTCCCGGGGTCGAATCTCCGCAGCAACATCGGTTCCTCCGTGCATCTAACGTGCTAGGTCTGGTTGGGGCGCTGGGCCGGGCCGAAGTGGGATTAGTCGGGCCGCCTTTAAGGACTTGACCCGGACACCCACTTCGTCAGAAAAAAAAAAAAAAAAAAAAGTACACAAGGAAAGTGCACTTGCCGCTTTTTGCTATCCACTGCATTCCTTTCCTCAATTCTAATAAAGAAAAAGATTGAATCGCGAAAATGGTCGTTAAATTATTTAAAATGCCATGAATGAATCAGTAATTGAATTTTTTTTAATTAAAAAAGTCATTCAACTCCCCAAAACAAGCCCATAGAATTATTTTGACCAATTTGATCAGTAAATCAATGGGAAAAAAAAAAGAAGCAAACTTGACCTATTATTGTAAGTTCTAAAGGGTAAAAACACAATTTTTCTTTAAAGAAAAACCAAACTTTAAGGATTAATCCCTATTTTAGCCAAATTTTATAGGAGGTAAATACAATTAATAAAAAAAATACCAATATCAAGCTCTTCCTCTTCCACCATCCACCGCCACTGAAAATTTGTAATTCCAATTAATTTAGAATGTGCTGCTACGGCAGGGATGGAGAGAAGAGTGACGTGGCATTATTTGGATATTTTGTCTCTGAAAAATTGTAACTCCCGTTAATTTACATGATCCAAAATGCTCATTTTTTGTAATTGAATGATTTTTTTTTACCAAAAAATATTTTAGTGACCAACTCTATCATTTTGAATAGGTTAGTGATTATTTTAACCATTCACTCAAAGAAAAAACAAAGGAAAATTGAACCAGAAAATGGGGGCCAGTAACAAATGAGGATTAGCGATGGTTTTGACTCCGCTGTTGCATAAGCCTATAAAGAAATGTCAACTTCTCTTAGGTTTTTGAGAGACATCCTGCATCGACCCAACAAAAGAGAATCATATCCCTTCAGCTTGTGCAAGAATTTAAGGTTAGTTTAAAAGTAGATTTTCAAGTGCAAGCGTATCATTTCACTTGCGTAGCTTGGAACTTCCTCCATCCAAACGATAGCGATAATTTGAAACTCTCAAAAAAGCTATAAAAGTGACGCCGCAACGGGGGCGGGGGGCCCAACACAATTCCTCGCAGCCATTGCATCATCCGAATAGGCCAGTGTACAAAACATCTTAAGTTTCAAACTTTAGATCAAAAGGATTCTTTAAAGAGGAAAAAATCTGGGGAGCCCTTAAACTATTGTCGTTATCAATTTTTGGCCCCTCATCTAAAATTTGTTTCCGATTGATCCTTAAACAATTAAAAATGCATACTTTGAGAACTTCCGATGACTTTAAGCACAAATCTGACCGGTATTAAAGGAGAACTGAAGATGAAAAGAAACCATCCAAAACTACAGCAGCCATCAGCAGCAGCAGCACGAGTGCAAGTCCAGGAAAGTAGCTATTCAGGTGGGGGTGGAAGTTCAACGGGAAGTGGCAGCTATTACAGCACCATGGCGAGTTGCAGCTCTGCAGGAAGAGGAAGCCAAAGCAAAGGGAAGATGTGGGTTGATGAGTCTGACCGGCAAGATGATGAACTTTTGGCTGTTTTGGGCTATAATGTCAAGGCATCAGATATGGCTGAAGTTGTACAAAAGATTGAGCAACTTGAAGAGGTTTTTGGTAATGCTGAAAATGATAGTTTATCCCATCTGGTTTCCGAGACCGTTCATTATAATCCCTCAGATCTTTCATCCTGGCTTGGATCTATGATTTCTAAACTCTACCCGGATATGTCTTCCATCCCTGATTCTTCTGCAATTTCCGATGAATTTAAGCACAAATCTACAAAACATGAACAAATAAAGATGCCCTTTGATTCCGGTCAGATTTGTGCTCAAAGTCATCGGAAGTCCTTAAAGTATGCATTTTTAATTGTTTAAGGATCAATCGGAAACAAATTTTAGATGAAGGGACAAAAGTTGACAACGATAATAGTTTAAGGGCTCCCCAGGTTTTTTCCTCATCTTTAAAATGGGGTTTGTGGCCACTTTTGAGGACAAGAAAACATGAGATCCATATCATTTCCCAAAACCACTTCAAGTTCATTCAGTTAAGACAAATTGTTCCTTAAAGTTCAACTTTATGATCCACTCGAGGACGTAAACGTCGGGATATAACTAGCCTGCTTATGCTACAACTGTTAGTAAAGAGTTGCTAGACAAGTTTAATGCTAGGAATACTTGGCTCATCGCTAAGATTCAACTTGATGATCCATAGCATTTCTGAAAAATCCGCAATGTTCTATACTCCTTGGCTCACAAATTCACCCATTTGATACAAGCTTACTTTAAAACTGGTAAAAGTGGAAAGAATCAAGAAACCAGAATTTTATACAAACGGGGGCAGACACCCCTCATGGTAGATAATGTGTTCTGTACATCACAACCCAGAAAAAATGCAGCATAGTACTACGCTTTCAGAATTAAAGCAGTAGCTTGCTGGATAAGATTGCATCTGTCTCTCTCTCTCTCCTCTCTCTCATTTGGTGAACTTTTTCTTTTTCTTTTTAAAGTCCCATAGGAAGAAATACGAAGAAAATATAGTCGTATGCCACTTAAAAGAGTTACATACAGTTTAACTAATAAAAGAATTTACCCGCCAAAGCTGAAACGGTAAACTGGTGAAAGACACCAAAACCCTGGGGAAAAAATTACAAGGAAAAGGTCAAAAAGTAGACCATATTAGGCAGAAAACGACAATCACTTAAGAGAATAAAAAGAAGCGAATTAAGATATAAGAAAAATAATTTCCCTGATGAACGTAACCAGAATTGTATTATTTTAAAAAAAAAAAAACGCCTCTTATGGACCATGCATCGCATATGAAAGTATCACCAAAACAAATTTCTTTTTCCAGTTTTGACAAGATTCTATATAAAAAGTTAAATTAAATATGTCTAACAATTCATACACTTCATTTTCCAAAGGCACCAAAACTGACTAGGTCTGCACTAGTACCACAGCTCAAGAAGGCACAAAACAAGCATTTTGCTGAAAGTTGAACATAATTTGCTGAACTTAAAGTACTTACCTTATGTTGGATTACATTGTCAAGTGAAGGCAAAAATCCTATCAGCAATCTTAGTTCGACAAATGGGGCATTCGGAGCATGCAAGGGAACAAGATTTACACACTGCAAAAAGTACAGGCAATATGAACAACGCAAAATGATGACCCAGAAAGAGAATTGCTAAGAGAGTAGGCAACTTACAACAAAAATGACGGCAAGGAAGAAGCATTGCTGCTGTAGGGGACTCAAAACATATTTTACAGACATGAGAATTTATGTCTCCATTTCCGAGGTACCTGAGTTCTTTTTCCTTCATCTCTTGCATCCGAGCCTAGGGGAACAAAGAAAAGGACAAGAACAATCAAGCAGGCAACCTAAACTATACCAACATTAAATAGTATTCTGCCAAGCTGATTAATTTTTCGATGATCAGATGACAAGGTCAATAAAGAATGCATATTTATGAAGCTGATGATAATTTATCAGAAAGCAGCTAATAACATGACACTCCAAGTACTAGAGGCTGTAAACGAAATAAAAAACCTGTAAAAGAAAGAAACCATCTTCTAAAGTAATATATCCTTTCTCAACACCTGATTTATACGTGGACAAGGGAACATTTAAGCAACTTTTGAAATACAGGACCGACATCATATCCTTTTTTAGAAGAGCTAAGGAAGTTGCAAACCCATGACAACATTAACAAAGTTTGCTTCCCAGTTCTTTGTTAAGTAGTATGTTATACTGTCTTTTTAATCAGAGAACAAATATTATTACAACCACAGAAATAAAAATGCCACTTTCCGAAATGTTTGATCAAAACCACGTTCTTACACTTCAGTCTTGGTGGATATGAAACCAATTCAACATCATGCAAACTCTAACCATTTGGAAACTCAATTTCTGAATGATCTGAAAACAACAAAAACTTCATGCCAAATCTTGTTAGTTGAGTTCAAAAAAAATTAGTTTCAGTTTTACATTTTGATAGTAACAGATTTTCTTTGAATTCCAAATTTTAGTTTCAATTTTCCTTTTCTTGCCTCAAGTTATGAGATCCACTTGATTCTCCCCAAGCCCTACCATTATTCTATCTCATATTTTCCACTTGCATGTGCAAGTTTTTTTCTTTTGGCCTTGGAATGTACCCAAATTAATCAAGTTTCTGTTACAATGTCAATTTTGAGATGCCCAAACAGTGTTTAAAACTAAACTATTGGAATACGACACACAGGCTTAAACATAGGAAGAACATTCTCATTTTTAACTCGAGACAACCTAGAGTGAGAAGAGACAGAAAAAAGTAGATGAATATAGACAAATTAAGAGGGAAAATCACACCCAAAATCTATAGACACAACTATGTCATGCATGCAACAAGGATCTTATTTACCTTAAGACGCGCAACAAGAGGTTCTTCACGGTGAATGCCAGCAGACGGTATTATTGGATCTGGAGGTTTCACCTCTACTACAATTTGATCTTCACAAACATCATCTATTTTGGAATCATTTGGACGTTCTCCACTATCATTCTGAATGTCATTGTGCTTTGGTTCTTGTATAGCACCCCCTTCTTTTTTCAACTGGGCAACAAGCACCCACATGTTTGCTAAATCATTTTCCAAGGCTGCCTCCCTTTTCTTTGCTTCTTCAACCCTTTTTCTGTATTCATCTTCTAGAACTTCTTTCTCTGCCAAGGCAGCCTCCAGGGCAGCCTCTCGTTGCTTCCTAGCCTGTAACTCCATTTTCAGATCCTCGTGATCAAGATTCCATACATCAAAGTCATCATGGACCAGTCCTGAAACTTCATTTACTCGGCTAGATACACGGCCCCTGCGTCCAGGCCTAGGACCCTCATTATTCTTACGATTGCCTCCAGTTCCGGATTGCACGTTCAAACTCCTAGAGTTTATTAGCTCTCTAGAAGCCAACAATTCCTTTTCTAGTTTTGCATTCTGCAGCGAAAGCTTTGTCACTTCACCTGCTAAATTTTTCAATTCCACGGCAGCAGCAGAAGCCAGTTCCTTTGCATAGGAAGCTTCCTCGGACAATTTCTGATTCTGCACTCGCAAGCCACTGTTCTCCTCTAGAAACTGGACATGCTCAAGCTTTAACTTCTCATTTTCAATCTCCTGTCAAAGAAAGAAAGCCATCGACCATTTTCAAATGCCCCTAATGTGAATGACTAATAGACATTTTGTTTTATTGACCAGATTACAGCATTTTGGCAAGTTTTTGGAATTTCAATTCAGAAATGTGAGACGTTATTCATTAAGAGAAGAAGATAATGAATTGGATGTTGTGGCATAAAGAGGCAAACAAGACCATGGAAGAAGCAGAATAGCGGCTTTAGTTGCCCAATGTTAAATCACAAAACCTATAAAAACAGAATTCAGTGCATAGGATAAGTAAACTATTTAATATATTCTTTGAAACAACTCAAATGATACAGTTAGTCTGTCTGTTCATCAAATTCATGACTGAGAGATTCCATATGAACTTTTACATTTCAAAATTATTAAACAAAAGATGATTAAAGGCTCTAGAATTAGTAGACCTCATGATTTATCATGCAACATTGCAGACACTTTATCTACAAGGTAGATGAATCACCTGAACCTGAACCTTTTTTTTCAACTCATCAACATATTCATCTGATGCACAATGCTCAGGAAAGGGTGGAGAAGGTGATGATTTGTCACCAGTGGCTGATGCTAGCTGGAGCTCCAGAAAACTAATTTTCTCTAGTAATTCCAGGTTTTCTGCACACTGCCAATTGCGAAAGGACAACAAAATCACTAAAAGAAGATGACAAGACAGTGGCTGGCCATGGTAACCTTGAGAGTAAACAGTGACCAAATAACTAACTTGGCAAAACTGTCTAATGTTTAAAATACAGTATTAGTATTCCTCTGTCTGACCTTGTTCTGCAATTGTTCTTGCAGGATACGATTGTCTGCTGATTTTATCTGCAACAAGAGATCAAAATACTAAACAAACCCTAAAACATGTTTTTACTACATTAAACCAAGATAAAAGCATACAACTAACACTTTTCAAAAAGCTACAGCAAATTCTGTGCTCTTAGTACTACAAAGTTGGTAAGACATAACAAGAATGCTGATGGCACTAACCTCAAGCTCAAAACCTTTTTCACTGCACTGGGTCATCAATTTCATCAAAGTCTGTAGAATCACACAGCATTCAGACAAATATTAAGTAGGTCCACATTGCAAAACATTACCATCAACAGGCATATGAACAGAATATAAACCACCCTGCTACCAGAAAAGGAAGAAAACTGCTCCTAGAATAACTAAAAAATCAGAGATAGAAATAAAGGATAACCTGCTGCATTTCAACGATAGAAGCATTAGCAATTGACGCTTCACCACTCTCAACTATGCGTTGCTCTAAGATCCTCATTTGCTTTTTCTTCTCTAGGATATCATGTTCTAAATTCTGAATCTGTACCGTAAGAAACAATGGCAAGTTTTATCACTCCAAAAACGATTGCAGAAGAAAAAGATATCATATCTAGCTAATATGTGAATGTAGGAGCAAATTGAGAGAATAAGCCAAGAAAAGGGATGTCAGACAGTTTTAGGGATGGTCTTAATCATTGGGCTGATATAACTTCAGCCCTACTTTCCATTACTTAGAAATCAGTTCATTCCAATATTTGTTAAACTGCGCCCTTTTCAGGCATTTTTTTGGTTTTTTTATTTGAGCTCATTTTAAGCCAACAAAAATGTTAATTACCAGCTGTGAAACCATGTTTTGGCATTTAAAACTTGAAGCATTAAACTATACTTTCAAAATTGCTTTAATGTGAAAGAATGAAGCAATCAAGATCATGCCTGTTTAATTAAGAACCTGCTTAAGCCAACAGAGAATTCAATCTCTAAAATAGTCTCAAATTTATAACAGTTGTCAGCCCTCCAATAAGTGGAACAGAAAGCAAGCAGAGTGAAGAAACTAATCTAGTAAATATGTCAATTGATTCAGATAAAACCAGCATCTGACTTGAACATTCTTCTACGAAGTTTAACGAAAGTCACAAAGAATCTAGCAACTGCTGCTTTAAATTAGGCACCAATTGTATTCTATTTTTGCATTTTTTCCATATATCTTCCATGCAAAACTAATTACTTATTGCAGCATGGCAATTCACCATCATGTCCATTTATGTTTTCAATGGGGGTTGTAGGAGTGTTTAGCTATATCCTGGCCTATGAAAATTGAACTGACCATGTGATTTTTTAAATTAACTTTCAGGTAGGACAATGAACTTTTACTTGATCTTTTGAGCTTTCCGGATCATTTGCAGATTGCTCAACCAATCGTTTCAAAGTACTACTGCTGAATGCAATCTCGCCAGCTAGCAACTTCACTTGCTCAACAAGAAGGTCCATCTGATCTGACATTGTCATCCCATCCTGATAGCCCACATCAGACACCATGTTAGATACCTCAGAAAACCATAATGAATTAATAACTTGGCAACAACTGAACCATTGCCTATAGACAAATTAAGATGCAATTTAGCCCCAATCTGTAAACTACTTAGTTATGTAAAGTCAATTAAGCACAAGCAACATCATATTTATCTGGGCAAGGCAGCAGTAAAGAGACTGTAAAACTAAACAAAGAGTCCATGACCCTTAAAAAAAAGAGAAGCACAAGAAAAGGAAAGGCTAAAACATACCGTGGGCAGTTTCAAATTACAGGAAGAACCATTGATAACTTCACCCGCATGAGTTGATTCGGTAATCGTACTTCCAGCTTGCGACATATCATCATTCCATTTGCTGGATAAGGAATCTTTCTGATTCTCTCCATCTATGAGCAAAGAACCATCACGTAGAACATCCAATTTCTGATGGACCAAAAAAGGGTAGGGAAAAAGTCACAACAGCTTATGCTTCTATTTATACACATAAACAAACAACCAAATATTGATTAAGAAAGTCAATAACATACTTGATTCAACATGATTCTGGAACTAGGTTGGTTCAAAAGGCGATAACAAAACATATTTGAGGAAATTGTTCAGCCAAAAAAAAATGAAAGGCAATTGAAAAGTCAAAATAATCTATGCAAATGATTAAGCCCACATGATGTCTGATTCCAACAAAATGATCATGGCAAGAAACCTACATCATCTTCACACACTGATTGAGCCCTCTGACGGCTGGATGCATCACTCAAGCATCCTGGAATTGTATTTTTAGTAGAAACAAGGATTAGTTTGGTTAGCCTCTGAATTCTGCTCAACAGAGCAGCCTTTGCTTCTTCCTCTTCCTCCAATCTTGATTGCATTTTAACTTGTCCTTCTTCCAACTATTAACAATACAAATAAGTCAGAAGCCAAACATACACACACACACACACACACACGCATACATACATATATATATATATACACATATATATGTATATCTATGTATATGTATATGCATGCACACAAAACACGATGAGCCCATTAACAAAGTCCAGTTAAGGCCCCTCATAGTGGCTTTTTTGCAGTTTCCAATTGAAAGAGGTTCAGAGTTGGGAGACATACCTGTTGCCTTAAGCTAATAATCTCTTCATGACTCACACCAACAAGCATGCCCCTTCTTAGCTGATCAAGTTCTTCTTTAAGACATGAAATTTCTTTTTGATACTTCTTAATCAACGATTTTTCATCAATAATCTGAAAAAGGAAAAGAAAAAATAACATTGAACTAATGCAACACTCTCTAAGCTTAATTCTGAGACATTGGCAAATGTTAGCAAACCTTATTACGCGAGGCATAAATCTCTACACATTTGGCTCTGTTTGCAAATTTCAATGTATTATGAGTTTCCTCCATGTTACTTGATGCAGGAGTTACAGTGCATATAAGCTGGGAGAGGAAGGATCAAACAGAAATTGAGGAAACAAAAGGTGAGAGGGCAGTAATTCACACAAATATGCTTTTCAACTACTTCCTAAGAGCTGCAAAGAAAAACTTAGAAATCCAAATATATACTTCTTTTACCAGAATATGCAGATTCAAAGAATTTGAACAAACATGTCATTCCAAAAACCAAAATAAATTTCAGCAGATAATCATACTTACAGAAACATGGCCATGCCCACTCAGTGATGATTGCAGTAGGCGGGTGAGTTTAGAATCTCGATATGGAACATGAGATGCCTTGCCCTCACTTAGTTTTCCAATTACCTTAAGAAGAACAGTAAGTAGAAAGTAAGACTGAATATGTAACAGAGAAGAAAAATTCAGAAGAGAGAGAGAGAGATTTTTTGAGACTCACAGTTCCAAGAGTTAGAAGACTTTTATTGATGTATGATCCTTCCTTTCGCCTAATTCCAGTTGTTTCTGTCTTAGAGCTTTCAGATCCAGCTAAATCTATTAAATTCTGAATCAAAGAGGAAATAAACATAAGCAAAATGGAAAATGTGACAAAAAGCTTTCATTTAAAATTATTGAGGAATATAGGCGTACAAGCTGAGAAAATATAACTCCGTCATAATCATCTCCGTGGGCACTACTCTCAATCATCTGCAGACACAGACATTACAATATGAAACAAGGGGAAAAAAAGGAACTTAGGAGTACAGAAAAGCTATATGAACAAAAATCATGTAAAGAACTGGAGAAATAAAACCCATCCAGCAATATGACCCATAGTCATTTAAAAATGGATTTTAAAGGAAAACAAATGAAAATTTGGTTGACAGTCTTCCCCGTTAAGCACCATACTCGAAATTCAAACAAAATGCAAATCACATACCAAAGTGAATATTGTGTGACTACGGCTACTGAATAGATTAAAATTGTTTGAACCCACATGTCGATGCTCTGCAATTAAAGGACAATCAATAAAATAAGTAGAGAATACGTATAAGATATTATGATTATCTACATTAAAAGATGGGAGAAGTGAAAAGAATCACTTAGACACCTTCCCCTGCAGCAATAAACGACAGAGCGTGGCCAGGTGACAAAACAACCTCTTCTTTTATACCCTCAACATAAGTTCCCTGTGACATTGTGCAAGTGTTACAAATCCAAAAGAGCTTAAGGTACAGAGTATTTCAAGGAATAGAAGATCTGCAAACCAAGATGTCAATTGAGAACCAAATTGCCTCAACAACCACACAAACCTGTGCATCTTCTCTTACACGTAAATTTTGACCAGTTGGATCCAGCAAGTCATTGATCACCTAACATTAGAAACGTAAAGAAAAGTGCATTTCAGTTGGCTTCAATAAGAACGCTCATGAGTCAATATACAAGAAAAACTGAAGAAGGAAAAGCAGAAGCAACTATCTCTATAAGCTTTTGACACACCTGAGAAGTATAAATTGATTGTATGATCACGGTTGAAGTTACTCATGTATGGCATGAGTTAAAAGAACATTGTATATGCTAAAACCTTTCATGAGTTGCAACCTTAGTAAAGTAAGATTAGATTAAAAATGGTAACTGACCTCGTTGTAAATTTCAAGATAGGACACGCGAAGTAAGAATTCACACCCAGGAGTCTGGATTAAAAACAAGTGATACACATTAAACCAATGAACCAAACATCCCCAGATAGTAAAGACATAAATTAGACCAAAGAATGGAAAAGCACAAGGCAAAGGAGCAATAAAGAAATCCACAACCAATAAAGATGGTTAAAGAATAACATACTGAATGAATTGCAGAAAGTGATGAAACATCACAGCCAAACAAAAATTTCTACTGGCAAGGGGAACTGAAAGATAATGTGTTACAATTCAAGGACATGAGGATCTTGCTTACATCTTGAATAATGCTGAAAACATCCTTTATTGCCAGTGGTATTATGCCAGGAGAGTTTTGGTCACCCTGTGAGGACCAACATGCCAACATGTCAAAGGTACGAAAACTGACACTTAATATGGAAATGCATAATACATAGTAGCAGTCGTAAGTTTCAATTGCTAGACATCATAAGCAACATAAAGAAAAGCCAGTACATAAGATATTATGAGATCTAATAACTTCCAGGAATATAATTGATTCTGTAGAAACAGACATTTACTTCACATATTTGAAAGACTAGAACAAGGAAAGAATAAAGAACACTGCAATCTCACCGCCCCAGAAGGATTAATTACCATATAGATATAGATTAATTACACGTTTAACTCTGATTAATCTGTATTTAACAACTTCAAGAAAATTTCTAGTATGATTCCAATGCCAACATGCAGACACACCATAGAAACCCAAATCTGACACTAGAAACTAAAATATGAATACAGAATGGACTTCATTCCATTGTTACAGCTCTTCTTCTAACTATGGCTTTCAGAACGAATTGAGGAGAATTTTGAATCTGCATAATAATGAATGAAAAAACCAAAGAAAGAAGTATCAGTATTTAAAATAACTTACATGCATAGTATGTGTCTTTCCACTGCTCGTAACACCATAAGCAAATACAGTTCCTACAAAATTAATACAAATCATAGTGGAGCTGATAGGAATATAACAATTAGCTTATCAATTTTTTGAGCCACATCGTTAAAGTAATAGGAAGCAAAGAATTTCAGATCCAGTTCCCTGAAAAATAGTTCAGCTCCACGGATTATTTCTTTCTCTTGCTCAAACATAATTTTGGAGTAAACATAATTCCTTTTTTCTTACCATTTATCCCTTCCATTGCAGCCTTAACCACAGGTCGAGCTGCTACTTCGTAAACCTCCTGCGTACTTGTATTTTGTCCAAATACTCTATCTATCGAATTAAGAATGGACAAAGAATTGAACGTCAACTTCAGCTGTATCGATCGTGAATCCTACTGGCAAACTATCAAAAACAAACGGCAGCTTCGTTTCGTAGTCTTTCAAACTGTTATTTACAATGTGAGAAATTTGTTGACTAAAATACTTGGAACCTTACCGAATGCATAAGCTGTCACAGGATTGTACTCATTTCGCACAATTTTATCGCCATCTGCATACCAAGCAATCTCATCTCCTCTCTGATATTCCCGCTCGCTACCACCACAAGTTCAATAAATCACAAAATTTGCCACATTGTCCCAAAACTCAACCCTAGCTCAAAATTACTCAAAAAGTCTTCAATTCAAACACCTAAAGATCTATGTCAATCCAATCAGATCTAGCAGTTTTACCTCAAAGGCCGAAATCGAATGGTGACTGAAATACTATCCCCCGATCTTGATGTATCCACAGGCTCCGCCATAAGCTCATCCGCGGATGGAAAATCAACTGGCGAACGGCTATTATAACCTCGCGAGTAAGCCGAATCACTCCTACTTCGGCCAGGGGTCATGGATCTGGTCGCGTATCCATTTGCCGAGCCGTAATATGAAGCTGCCGAGGAGGAGCAGGAGCGCGGCATAAGCCGACCGTTCATTAAAGATGACGAGGACGATGAGGAGGAGTACGGACTCGATTGCTTTCTGTAGTGAAACGGCGAGCTGCTTCGTCCTCTAGATGAAGACGCCGCCATTGCCCACCGACCAACCAGATATTCACAATAAAAAATAAATAAAGAGAGAGACCAGCACCGCCCTTCCCTATATATACTAGTGTGTGTCCTAGGACAGAGAGGGGGGAGGAGTAAAGAGTAGAAGGAGAAGAAGAAGAGGAAGAATGTGTCAGAGGTCACATGGCGTGAATCATAAAGTGAAGAACATTATTTAATTTGGTTTCACGCTTTTAAGCAAATGCAGGTTGCCAAGTGTGGAAGAAGCTTCAGCTCAGTAGATAGAGAGGAAAAGAAATCAAAAAATAAATTTAATTATATATACAGAAGAATGGTGTGATTTTATGAATTTGTAGAGAGAGAGTGTGAAGTCTTCATTTCTTCTTCTTTAAGACAAAGTGAGTTGCAGAGTAGACATAGAGAGAGAGAGAGAGAGAGAGGGGGGGGGAGAGGGAGTAGTGACAGGTGAGTACTGAGTAGTAGTAGAGAGGGGGAAGTGAGAACGATAGGAAGATTTGTTTTTTGTTTTCTGTCCTGTATTTTTTTTGAATTTAAATGCTATATGAGTTGATTTTTGTGGGAAAATTAAAAGTAATAGTAGTTGGAACAGAAAAAGGCTGGAGATGAGGATTAAAAACATCACAGAATTGAAGAATTCAGTAACGGTGTAGGGAGGTGGAGTTTAAACTGCGTAGTGCGCAGCGGTAGCCCGCGCCAAAGGTGAGGGGTTTTCAGTTTTTACGGGCAGTATTTTGAATAGTGAGAAGTAAAATGAGCGGGAATAACAGTGGCATCATTTGAAAGTTAAGGGCATTGTTAATCAAGTGTTAAGTAGAGTAACTAATTTGAATGGATTAATACCCGGTAATATTTGGAGTCTTGGACCAAACGGTTTATTGCCAGCAGGATAATCCGACCATGTCCCAAAGTTGCTGGGTGCATCTGGTAGTTTATTGATTGAAATCAATTTTAGAAATACAATTTTTAGCTAAGTTTGCAAATGCCTTACTTTTACATTTATGTATATGATGCATAAAGGTAGGTTCCATCAAATACAAATACTTGGTTCAAAATAGATTCCCTTAAACACGTCATCTTTGTCTGTTTTTCCATGAAATTATTTAAAATTTGGATTAATCTTTCCTACGCTTACACTGTATACATTATTGTCAACGTTTGATGAATAATAATTATGTAAAATTTGAATTTAAAATTCAACTTTTGCAAACATATCATGAATCAGACGGTGATAATGTATGTACTATCCGTATATATATGATTTACTCTTAAAAATTCTCATTAATCGTTGAATTACTGGTTGGTCAATTTTTAGAATTACAAGGTGATGACTATTATAGGGGATTTTTTATATATATTTCGTGCATTTTTCATTTAGACCAAAAACAATTCACATTGATTACATCTTTCTATCGATATGCTTTCTTGATTCAACTTTATTCAAAAAAAATTAGAAACATCATTTGGATTGTGTTACTTATAAAATATATGTCATGGCATTTTCTGATATAGGACTGGATGTATATTAAATGAAAAAGGCAGTTGAAATTTTACCAAATAAATAAAAATATATGTTAGAGAACATTCCAATTACTCGTATATGCTAAATCCTACTTCATAAGTTTTTGCTAAATTTATGAATGTGTTAAACTTGGACTAAATGGACAATAATTCCATCTAACATGTCATCTTTTTATATTACAATTAAATAAATTTCAAATTCTAATTAACGATGCGATTGTAGTTGGCCTTTATTTATTCATTGATGTATTTTCAATTTTGCACCATTCCTTCTCCTTTTTTTTATTCTTGATTTCACTTTAGTGCGTGACAAATAAATGCCAAATATTAATTTAACAAGTGATATAAGAAATGTTCATGTAATCAAATTTTTTGACCATGGTAAGATCATAGGAAGTTATCAACATAAAAGAATAATCAATATATGATACTTATGATTTTTTTATAAGCCAAGGGTTTAACAGCTTATGGCAAGATTGTAATCCATCAACTAACTACTAAGTAGTTTTTTATTAAGAATATAAAAAAAAGAAGAAAGAAACCAACTATTAAGTATTATCTCAATGACAAAATGCCGTTGAGGACAAGTCTGCAATAAGTGGACAATAGTGGGTTTGTTTGGATAGTGTATTATTTGGAATAATTACTGTAGCACTTTTTGTGATGTGATGTATGTAAGATAAAAATGTGGTTGGGAATATAAAAAGGTGGGTTGGAAAATGTGTCTATGATGTAAGCGAAATATTATTTGGAATAATTGGGGTATCCAAACAAACCCAGTATGTTGGGATTTTGAATTTTTGACATTTAAAATTGAAATAAAATATTATTTTTTTTTAAAAAAAGAAAGCAATTAACCGTTTCGAGGCAAGGAGGAGCGTGGTGACGAAAACTGTCGTTATCCTGCCTATCGCGGCATAACGACTGACGACCCATCGCTGATCAAGTTGAACTTTTTTGTTTTGCGTCAGATTTTGGCCAGCTTCTTGTTTTCCTCATCTCCTTTGCGGGATTTTCTTTTTTTTTAATAGCTTGTTGTATGGCAGGCTTATTAGCCAATGGTACATGCCGGACAACATGCAAGAGAATGAATTCGGGCTCATAGTTTGTACAGATTCAGCAGGAGTGTTTTGAACGAACTCGATTTGTCTACAATCTTATCAGGGAAATGTTATTTGCATTCAATCTTTTGTTAATTACACTTTCACTATTTGTTTTATCACATAATATAATAAATGAAATCCATATAATAAAAATGATAATGAGAGTGTGATTACTAAAAATTGAAGTGCAAGTATTTTCTTCTTATTAAAGTCTAAAATCAAGGTGACTCTCGGAGAATAAAGCTATGAAATAAATGTACATCTAATTAAAACTTAATCACATTGGCAGTGTCGTCACCGAAATTCCTTGCTTAAGACAAAAAAAATCCAGAAACAAATGCAAATTCGTAAAATTCTTGGTTAAATGGATTTAAAACAAGGAAAAACTGCCAATTCGGTCTCTCGCATTTTTGGCAAGAAAATTAGTTCCTCACATTTAAAATAAACAAAATTAGCCCCACAGATATTTTAAAAAAATGTCCTTTTGGTCCAAGAGCTCATTTTTGCTGACCAAAAAATGTGCGCTACCCCACGTACCTAAGGACATGGAATACTCAATTTTCATCTTGGTTGTAGGTGCAACCAACCTATTAAGGACATGGCAAAAAAAATATAATAGATAAACAACTCCGGTATAAAAGATTGGTGCGGAAAAGCGGATTGTATACCACTGCTAATAAACACCAAAATAGTTAGTGATATTCATTGGATCAAGAGCACCCCCTTAGTAAAAGTTTTCATAGTTAGTTAACCAATATGAGGATCTCAAATTGTGCAAGAAATAGCTATTATGTGTAAAGAGTTTGGTTGGATGAATATTGAGAGAAAAGGGAGGTCACATGTTTTTTTTTTCTTGGTGAAGGAAACGAATTTTGTTCCCATTTTGACTTTAAATTTATAGACATCTAGGGGAGATAGGCATGCTTTTTTTTGGTTAGAAAACTAACCAAAAAGGACTTTTGGGACCAAGCGCAATTTTTTTGTTTTTGATGGATTTTTATTTTTGTTTTTGCTAATTTTAAATGTGAAGGACTAAAAAAGGTTTTTTTTTTTTTCCAAAATGTGAGAGAACAATTTGGTAAATTTATCTAAAAAAATAAAAGATAGCCCCTCACTTCATATATTCTGGAAGCGTAGTTAAAAATGAGGGAAAAATAACAATAAGCTATTTGAAAGCAAATTAATATTCATTAAGCTTCGCATATCAAAGATGATCAAATTAACAATCATGTCACCATCAGCATTGAGTATTAACCTAACAATTAACCAGGGTTGAGATTTATATAATCACAGGTTTGGCTGTACAGTGCAATCAAGATGGGATTGGATTTAATTTGAAATTGAATGAATGATATTGATTATGCGACACACTTTTCAAGGAAAACCAAATTTTGTTTATAGTTTTTACAAGTCTTTCGTTTTCACATACATTGTAGGAGTATTAATACTTTTATTTGTTGTTGATATTTACAGCGTACCATACAATTAAAACTAATAATTGTGAAAACCCCGAATCCCAATTAACCTCTCATTAAGTGGGCAGCACGAGACTGTGGACCATACCCAAGGCTTATCAACCTATATAGTAAAAGCGCGAATGGAGTTGTTAAGGGTGGTGGTTGTTCTGCTGACTTGGCTGAGTTTTATTGGTTGGATGATGGTCGTCAATCACGTGGGAGTTGCGTGCTTTCGCTGGGAGCAAATGTGCAATCCTTGTTCTTGTTGTCCGAGAGAAGAAGACTTGGACCTTCGGTTATTGAGAAGGAACGTTTCTCTGGATTGCCAGCTGAGTGAGCTTATTATGACGGTTGCTCATAGTTTGACCGATAGCAAGCGTTGGGTGATGGGCTCGATGTGGGTTGATATGATTTGACAGTATTGCCCTTCTTTTAAAAAAAACAAATGCACCGTTCTGCCTTGCTGAGCTCCTTCCTCTCTGCGATTTGGTGAGGAGAAGCTTCAGCTCTGCTCTGGAGAGCTGCCGAAAAAACACTTTTTTGCTTTTCCCTTTGATTGACAAGACTGAAACCCTTTGTTTCTCCGATGTACAGTATTGCCCTTCTTTTAAAAAAAAACAAATGCACCGTTCTACCTTACTGAGCTCCTTCCTCTCTGCGATTTGGTAAGGAGAAGCTTCAGCTGTGCTCTAGAGACCTGCCAAAAAAACACTTTTTTGCTTTTCCCTTTGATTGACAAGACTAGAACCCTTTGTTTCTCCGATGTATGCAGAGGTTTCTATGTCTTTGGCTCCGCTTTTTCCAGCTTTCGTCATCATGATCCGTTGTAATTGTGCCTCATTTTCATTGTCCTTTTCTTGCCCTCCACTTGCTTGCTTCTTCATTCTCAGCTGTTGCCTCGTTTCTTTTTCCTGTTTTTTCTTTTCCTTGTAAGAGTTGCTGTTTTGCTGCCTCATTGAGTAAGGTTTAATTCCGCTGTAATTGTTTGCATTTCACTCCTTCTGATCGTGTTGTCTTTATTGCTGTGCTTTTTTGGGTTTTTCCCCACCTAAAAATTATGCCATCCTAAGCTGTTACTGTTGCATTGCCTCTTTGCTTTGCTTTGAACCTCGTTTTGCTTGTTCTTTTGCTTCTCATGCGCCCTGTTTAAATTAAGTTTCCTGCCGGAACCTTTTCGCCTGTGTTTTACATTTTCCTCCTGTCAGCAGTTCTTGCACTGCTGTGTTTTTTTCTTTTTTTTTTTGCCTTTCGTTCAGCTGCTGTTACTACGTACAAATTATCTTGCCCCCTTTCTGTGTTGTGATTTCCCCCTTTTCCCCTTGAATTTCTTATATTTTTTCCCACTTTGTTCTCTGGTGCTTGTTGTGCTGCATTTACTCTTTCATATTGTATTTTCTTACCCTTTTTCCTCTCGCTGGTTTATTGGATGCAGAAGCAATTGTTGTCCTCTTCTGTGTTGCTCTGCTGCTGGGTGATAAAGACTTCTTATCTAAGGTTAAGGTACCATTACTTATTCTCCCTTCTATATGTGCTTTTACCTTGCTCGTGCCTAATAATCATTTGCTGCATGCTTTTGTTACCTCACTTTTGAATGTTCCCAGCTTTCCTC